TGTATGTCAGAAGTCTGTTCTTCTTGTCACTGTATGTAATTTTCCATGCCATGTTTGGATTCGTTGAGAAGTTTTTCAGTTATCGAAGTTTTTTCAATCCAGACCAAAAATGAGGAATAATATCGCGAGTATGGAATATAAAACGATCAGCCAGTTTTCTACTCCTTTGTTAATTGGAAAATAGTTTTTATTCTCAACCTCAAACACCCTGTATGAAGGATTTTGAAGCCTAATTTTTTCAAGAAAAGGTCTATCAATTTTCAAATTCCCATTAAAAAATGGTCCATCCTGTATAACATGTTTCAGGTTCCTGGAATCAAAAATATAATTTCTTCTCTTTATAACTAATATTCTCTTTCAGTAGTTTTTGAGTCTTGTGATGATCCTTTGCATCGAACTGAAAGTATCTTTGTATAATCTAAATATTATTAGTAATCTATTATTTTGTTTAAAAATATGCTAAAACGAAATTATTTGTCATTGTAGAAAAACTCCAGTTCGATGAAAATGGTACATTCATCACATGGCCCATAAACTTGAAAGGAAGAAAAGTCAACCTAAAAAGGGCATTGATTGACGATGAAAATTTCGAAGAAGAACGTAGAGGCATCAAGAGGAAACTGATAAGATTGAGACCAAACAAGAGCAACGTCACCTACAAGAAAGAATTCACCGTGGAGAAAATATTGGCCCAAGAGTTTGACATCAACACCAAACAGCTAATGTTCCTAGTGAAATGGAAAGGTTACACGACTGAACACAACACCTGGGAGCCTTTGGAACATCTAACGCACTGCTCCCTACTACTGACCCAATTCCTAGCAGAATCTCTCGGTTCCCAAGTACTGGACACGCTCTGTGAGAAGCTCAACATCTCCAACAAGCTCTCCGACCAAAACCTCATCGAGATCCTCAAAGTAACCGACCTAAACAGCCTTCCCAACAAGCTATACCTGCAAGAGAAGCTGCTACGCTTGGTAGCCACCCCGCCCAAAGAAAGACACATCCACAAGCTAGAAGAAGGCAAGAAAGCCATCCTGATGTACCAGCTGCTGTTGAAGCGAGAAGCGCAGCTGAAGAAGCTAAAGAGCTGGGAGGAAACTATCAACAGGATGGCTGAAGAGGAAGCTGTTATCACCATCGAGAACAACGTGGATTTGGAGTGTCCCCCTGAAGGTTTCACCTATATCAACGAGTATATGGCTACCGAAGGGATTGATATTCCTGATGTGCCGAGCTCAGGGTGCGATTGTGAGGAATGCGGGCCGAAGCTGAAAGGCTGCTGCGGCAGGCAACCTCATAACGGTTTCACTTTTAGAGGCCGCGGCAAGATAAACGTTAACCCCGGTACTGCCATCTACGAGTGCAACAAGAAATGCAAGTGCGATTCCGAGTGTCGGAACCGCGTGGTGCAAAATGGCCGCAAAGTGCCCTTGTGCATTTTCCGCACGGCTAACGGTTGCGGTTGGGGTGTCAAGGCCATGCGTAAGATACATTGCGGCGAGTTCGTTTGCGAGTATGTTGGGGAAGTTATCACCCATGAAGAAGCGGAGATCAGGGGGCGGACGTACGACGAGGAGGGTAGGACGTACCTCTTCGATTTGGACTACGATTCCAAGGATAATCCGTATACGGTGGACGCGGCCAAGTACGGCAACATTTCGCACTTTATCAATCACTCTTGCGATCCCAATATCGGGGTGTACGCGGTGTGGATCAACTGTTCGGATCCGAATCTTCCGAAGTTGGCGTTGTTTGCGTTGAGGGAGATTGAGCGGTTCGAGGAGATCACCTTTGATTACATGATGAATATTGATCCGGTGGTGCCTACCACTCCGGAGAAGGCTAGGTTTCTTCATACCCCTGATAAAAACGAGGTTATTCTGAATGGTAGGAGCGTTTGCAAGTGTGAGGCAGACTCTTGCAGAAGATATTTGTTTTAATAGTAATTGTTCACTGGAGTATTAGATATTGCTATAGGAATATTATATAACTGTATTAAGTTTGCATTTTTAGATTATTCTGGATAGTATATGTTCGGAGTTCTAGGATGGTTTTAGATTTGATTCGGCCCTTGGTCAAGTATAAGTTTGGTCTTTGTCAACTGTTGCTTTTTTTTCTCTTCTTCACTGCCGGTTATGTAGTTGTCATGAAGAAGATTATAGACTCTATAGATGATCGGTCTTTATATCAGCAAAGTGGCAACACATCCAAGGCAATTGAACTTCAGTTAATAATGGAGCGTGTGGAGAGATCGGGACTGTTTCCCTAATCTTATCTAACCTGACCTTGCTTCTCATTAGTTTCAAACAGCTACAGTTCATATCAGTTGAACATATTTCAAAGGCTGAGACATTTTGTAATTCAACGTTGGCTAAGGAAAACTAGTGGATTGTTGATCATAACAATGCATTGGACAAGTGACATATGACAGTATTGACAGTAGTTGCTAGCAACACAATAGCACAAAGAAGTGTCTGACCCTTCTTAGGGACAAAATATGACAAAACGATCTATTGAAAGCAATCGAACAGTGTTGTAACATTGCAGCTAGGATGAAGAGTCAACTTTAACTTCAGATTAAAAGATAATCTGGAATGTTTGAAGCAGCTGGTACAGGTTAGAATGGAGATTATGTCAGTAGTTATTCCAAGTAACGAGAATTTTTTCAGGAAGGTTAATTGAAAGTTGTTATCAAAATTTTTCAGATAAATCGAGACAACTACTAGTGAAAGTGACATAATCAAATATGACAATAGTTTACTTATTATTATTATTGGTGCTGTCTGAATACAAGTAATGTCAAATATGCCATTCGGTCATCTATAGGGTTTATAATCTGTAGTAATATAGATAGGGTTCCTTGATATCAGTTTGACATATTTGTCATCTTACCAGGGTAAGGACATCTCATACCTTAGTCATGGTAATGGCAATTTCCAATGATTTTTTATAATGTTTACTCCTTTTATTATCTTTTAAGTTTTGACGGCTCATTTGACCTTTTATAGAATTTGTTTATAATTTGACAGGTTATATTTTATGAATATATTTTGTCTTATAATGGTTATGAACACTGAAAGAAGTTGAACTTCCTCTAAAATTGTGATGTGGAGTCTACTACAGACAGTACAAAATAATAACCTGCAACAAACATAACTCATCATAACTTGTATGTAATGTTACGTACTAGGTGAACGTATTTTTGCAAGACATAATAAAAATTGTATGTACATGTGTTTTTAATTTTTGTTTCCTAAGGATTCACCAGGGTTGGTGAATATGCAAGGTGTATCTCGTCGGATCGGCACGATCTACCGTGTGTCCACCATTTTCATATATTTTCATGGAATTTTCGAGTTTTATTGAGCCTCAAACGGAAGACACGTTCTCGAACTGACTACTCCATTATCAGTAATGAAATTTGAAAAATGGCTTCATTCAAACCTCAATAAATACTAATGAAACTGAATAAATATAAGATTTTTCAACAAAAAAATGTACAAAACATGAACTTAGATCTCTCGATTGTGAATGAATCTTTTAAACAAACTTATAAAGTTATTATTGTTTACTCTATTTTCTTGTACCAGAACTTGTTTCTGACTGGAAGTCAGATTTCCAATAAATAGTAAAATAAGTAATTCGGCCTCGGGGAGTGATATTGAATCGTCAACAGAAGGCATGCTGCACACGGATGTTACGAAGGCAGCAATTTATCTCTCTTGTACTTGTGTCATATAAAAAAGAGAATAACTGCGGTAACTATCCCTCTTTTTTCACTATTGAGGTTACGCGAACTTGAAGATTTACAAGTGCGACAACGCCACAGAAATTTAGGAAAATTGAGCTCGAATGTTGTTTATAAATGCTCCCAGGGCCCTTATCTGACACATCTTGCGAGGTGAAAATGTACTTTGTCAGCGAAGAAAATAGAATTCTTCGATTAAGTTTTTATCCACGCGAAAATTCTACTTCGAGCTATTATTTCTTCTCTAGGAGTGATATTGAATATTAAACAGCAAGCACGAATTATGTTTGCTTGAACTGCTTGTTGCTACCTGTGAATGCTCCAGCTGCTTGACATTCACTGTTACTACAGGTAGTCTCGAGTGCTGCATTGTGTCATTTGTGAAGAACTTGATAGTCTTGAAGGTTTGTTTCGAATAGATCCGGCTCGAAGGACCAATATGTTCGATGCTTGATATAACATGGTGTCCCTGAAAGGTCTTTACACAACCTTAGCACATAGTTCTGACAACAAATTAAGCCACTCCCAAATTTTTTTTTGAAAAATCTTTTTTTTTTTGCAATGCAAATGCAAATAACCGCCACAATCTTTGCTTTTTATTCATCATTCAGGTTACGTGAACGCGAAGATTTACAAGGGCGACTACGCGAAATGTCGTCACCGAAGAAATTTCCGTAAATTGAGCTCGAATGTTGTTTTTGAAAGCTTCCAGGGCAATACGACGATTATCGACACATCTTGCGTTGAAAAGGTACTTCGTCAGCGAAGAAAATGCGAGAATTCTTCGATTTCGATCTGTGATTCGGCCTCGAATCGCCCTTGAATCTAGCGGGCGTTTGGAAAGCAGCTATGTCTTCCTCTTGTATTCGTTTCATGAAAAAAGGGAGTTAGCGATTATTCTCTTTTTTTTGTTTTTTCAATCAGGTTACGCGAACAGTAAGAATTATAAGTGCGACAACGCGAAATGCCCTCGGACAGCTCGTCGAAGGAGCTCCAGCTGCTTCTCATTCACTGTTACTCCAGGTAGTCTCAAGTGCTGCTCTATATACTCCGTAGAGAACTTGGCAGTCTTGAAGGTTTGATTCGAATAGATGCGACTCGAAGAACCAATATGTTCGATATAGATCCGGCTCGAAGGACCAATATGTTCGATGCTTGATAGATAGTGGACTGTATTTTCATGATTTCATTGATGAATCTTATGTTTCAACAACACTTCATCATGTTGACAAATGAGAATCTCTTTCAGGTTACGCGAACGCGAAGATTTATAAATGCGACAACGCGAAATGCCCTCGGCCAGCTTGTTTCATCTCGGGCAGCTCGTCGAAGGACGACCACTTCCCGTGTCTACGGCCCGCCTGCTCCGGGCGCTTCCAATTGGTCAGGCACGTCAGCTTTGTCGACTGCCCCGGGCACGACATTCTCATGGCCACCATGCTGAACGGGGCGGCCGTCATGGATGCCGCCCTCCTACTCATCGCAGGTAGATAGAGTCTTTACAAAGTCAGTTGAGACACTTTTGTTCAGACGTTTTTATACAGGGTGTTTCATTGGGAAAGGTGAATAATTCAACTGTGGATAGGGGTCACTGAGGTGATTTCAAGAAACCCATGGTTGATGGGTCTTTGACTTCTTATAACCGAGATACAGGATGTTTCATCAATTTTGTCCATATCTTCATTGTCTCATTACTTTCCAACCAACCTGTATATATTTTTAAAAATTGGTACACTCGCTCAATATACCCTGTGGAATTGATTGAGACAACAACAAAAGATAAAATCCAGGTCTGGCTTCACTTAAAATTCACAAATTCTTTCTGCCAGAAAACAACACCCTATACATTCGAATTTCTCATTTTTCTTGCCATATCTGAAAAGAACATCAAAATTTCTATTCAACGATGTGCTTTTTATTCGTGCACAGATGATTTTAACTATTCATATTATGTGCTCAAAATATTATTTTTGCTCATTTTGGGGTACAAAATTGGAATCAGACGAGATTTATTAATTTTATTACTCCCTATTCAGTATACGTGAGTATTACATTTAGAAGGAGTATTTCATATCAATCTTTGTTCCAGACTTAGTTGCAGGTCCGTCATCAAAAAATGAGAAATTCGAATGTATAGGGTGTTGTTTTCTGGCAGAAAGAATTTGTGAATTTTAAGGGAAGCCGGACTTGGATTTTATTTTTTGTTGTTTAAAAAAGTGTTTAAAAGTTGAATTATTTACCTTTCCCAATGAAACACCCTGTATACTCACAGACAAAAAACCAGCCACCAAGAAATTTTCTTGTCCCGATTCTGGTGAAATTTCGACCAAATCGTGAATGCATGTGTCAGAACGTTGGCCTAAATATAAGTAAGTACCTGAGAAAAGTTGATGACTTGATCATTATACAGGGAGAAGCAAAAGTAACTCTTTCACCCTCAACTTCCCTCAACACCCTGTGGCAAAGGTGAGTGGTTAAACTTAGCTTCATCATGTTTTCGATTGATGTGTGATCTCTTCTTAACACAATGGTTTTTGGTTCACTTGGAGAACCACTTTTTGAAAGAAAATACAACGGTTTTAAGAGAAAGTATGGATTCTTCGATTTTCATTAACAATAATTCAGAATCATTCTCCAACCTTCTGCTTCTTCTTCTGCTTTTAAATTGAACTGTGATCCTATTTCGTCCCGTCTTAACACAATAGTTTTAGATTAACGACGATATCTCATTTTCAAGAGGAGAAACAAACGTTTCAAGAAAGTATGACATTTTTAAATTTATATTAACAATCATTCAGAACCAATAGAGCATCTTAGGGATGAACTCGTCTTTGTCCAACCTTGTCAGAGACTCTTCAAGAGCTATGATTCGCCCTTTAAGGTAAATTGAGGCAGTTCCCTCGGCAATTCTTCATGACTACTTGAGGAATTTAATCAACTCGATGCCACGGCGGTTGAATGCTGTAAATCAAACTCAAGGAGGGCATACTCGTTATTGACTACAGGTCTGCTGTTTGTTTTTGAATTGTAATAAAAGTTTTTTTCGGTAAGTGCTAAAAACATGAGGTAGATATAAGTGATATCAATTTCCTAAGTTGTTAATCTATAAGTATATTATGTAGGTTCTGTTTATTGTTGATAAGAATTGAGAAATTACATACTTTCTTAAAACACTCGTATCTTCTCAAAAAATAAAGATCATGACTTGAATTAAGAGCTATTGTGTCAAGAAAGGATCACACTTCAATCTAAAATAAGATGAAGCCAAGTTCAACTACTCAATTTCGCCACAGGGCGTTAAGAAGTAAAGGGCGAAAGAGTAACTTTGGTTTTTTCCTGTATAGTAATGAAGTCATCAGCTTTTCACGGAAACTAATATTCAGGCTAACATTCCGGAACATGAATCTACGATTTGATCAAAATTTTACGAGGATCGGACAAGTAATAAAAAAGTTACAGGGTGAACAATTTGGTAAAATTTTTTGGTGGCCGGTTTTTTTGCCGATGAGTGTATATAGGAGTGCTCAGAGAAACAAATGGATCACTCAAATTTTTGACATTCAATTTAACATCTAAACGACTACTTGCTCACACTAAAACATTGTGGGAAACTTCATACATTTGAGCTGCAGCTCTTATTGAAAAACCATTATCAAAGAGTGTTAGATCATTTTCGAACTCTGTTCATATTCATCTTAACTATCAATTATTAGAATGGAATCTTGAATTGAGCGTTTTGAAATGTAATCATTTGCTTAGAATCCTCTTTTCACAAATGTCTGGAAATCACCAATCCTTCAATTCACTTCGTATAATACTGAATGATCCAAAAATTTATTTATTTATCTATTTATTTATTTATTTATTTCTTACACTGTTCAACAGGTTGCCCCATTACAGAACAGGAAAAAAGGACAAAACAAAAACATATGCATTGCATATTACATAAGCATAATGGATAGACGAAACAATATGACAAAATAAAAATATCCTGACTATCTAGTTATTCACTGATGAAGAAGAAAAAATTTAAAAAGTTTTGACATGAGTTATTCCACAGCTGAACAGATCTAGATTCCTAGCTACCGTTATATGTACTACACATCTTATACAAAGGCGAATTTTTATATATGTTGGTTCGAGGAAACTCTAAGTAGAATGTATCACAATTTCTGGAAGATAATCTCGGGATAATAAAGTTCAATTTTTCCAACAAATCTGCACAGTCAATTAGATTGTTGACAACCTTATAAAGGATCAGGATAGAGAAGTATTGTCTTCTTACGTGCAGGCTTACAAATTGGAAAGTTTCAAGAAGCTCTCCATGAGGTGTACTAGTTGGAGGGTATATACCGCATGACCTGTAACTAAACAGTTTTAAAAACCGTCGTTGCAGACTTTCAAGACGATCAGTATTGTTCCGATAGTATGGGCTCCAAACAACCGATGCATATTCAATCTTCGAACATATAAAACAGTAGTACAATTTCTTAAGAGTATCTATCTTTTTAAAATCACGACTGTTGCGAACTATGAACCCGTATGCTCGAAATGCGGATTTCAGGATTGAGTCAATATGATCATTAAACGATATAGATTGATCAAATATAACGCCAAGATCTTTGAATGTTATAGGTCTCAGAAGAGAAATGTCACCAATTGAGTAATTGAATACGATTGGGTCCGACTTCAATGTGAAGGTCATGACATTACATTTGACAGGATTCAGTTCTAATCTGTTATTTTGACACTATTCTACCACTCGACCCAGGTTGTCAGCAAGCTGTTGACAATCATCTATGTGATTCACGCACCTATATAATTTCAGGTCGTCCGCATATAGCAAAAAGTTCACGTCAATAACATTACCAATGCCCTCTTGTGGCCACTAGAATTGACTAATCTAGAAAATCACGAAATTGTTTCGATATGTTGATTGAGGTAATCCATCTGAAAGAAGGATTAATAATTTTGTTGTCAGAATTTCTGCTGATCTCAAAGCCACGTGTATATCTTCTCCAGAATAAATTCGATCTTATTACAGTGCAATCGAAAAACATCCTGTGTACGGAAGGTCGAAAAATCAAATACCCTTTCGAGATATTGACTTGGAAGATTCGCAGCAGAATGAAAAAAATCCTGAGCAATACGGGAACTCCCAAACTTTTTTGATTATGTACTTAACACTTTTTTGATCACTTGGTATGACATAACTTAGGGAATTTGTTAAGTTTTGAACAATGAATCTTGGAATTTAAGGACGCATCTTTTGAACACTGAATTCCGATTTAAACATCGGTTAGTTTCCAAAAAATATATCGCATCTTGAAAAACGTCAGTAATGGGCGTGTACACCTCAGTAGAACTATTAACTCAAACCATGTTCATAATGATCCTTTTATACATAAATAATGATTGACGATATAATTCGATCGAAAAATTAATTGGAATGTTTTATTTTTGGTCATAAATAATAGTACCTTCTGAAAACGGACCCTCTTATGACGTAGAAACCTCATCTCGCCATAGTTGAAAGAAAATACCAAACGCCCGACGGAGAATGAGGCAACTGATATATTAATTCTTTCAACTGTGATCTCGCGCTAATTCACTCTGTCAGAAATCATGTATCATTCATCTCTGTCTGGAATAGTCTTGTTTCAGTATTAGGGTTTTGATGTCACATCATCGCCTCGTTTTCAGAGTTCCGAAAAATCGGGGATTTCAATAATTTTTTATAAAACGTAGGGAGCTCACAGCAAGAAACGGTTTGCGGTGGTGAGCTAGTTTGGGTGAGTTCTATCGAATTATGAAATACAAATTTTTTGTGATATAAGCCCATTTGAGTGGCCCACTTGTTCCTTTGAGCACTTTTGATGTACTTGAGACTTTTTTTCTGGCGTTTTATTATACTTATAAATATATGAAAACGTACAAAAGTGTTAAGTATACATAGAAGTATAATTGCAGATACAGTGGATGTGAGTAACGTTTTTTCTTTTTTTTTTTTTTCAAGGGAATGAGTCTTGTCCCCAACCGCAAACTAGCGAGCATTTGGCCGCTATCGAAATCATGAAATTGAAGCACATCATCATCCTCCAGAACAAAATCGATCTAGTCAAGGAAGGTCAGGCCAAGGAGCAGCACGAACAGATAGTGAAGTTCGTTCAAGGCACCGTGGCCGAAGGGGCCCCCATCATACCCATTTCCGCCCAATTGAAATACAACATCGAGGTGGGATACTAAATGTTACGTTATTCGGGTGCAGAAGCGAACACGACACTAATTATTTTCGAACTGATTTGTTCTAACTAAAGGAACACTAATTTATATCGAAGTTATAACTACTATTTATGTAAAACGATTTATATCACGCGGTATATGACTGTCTCTCTGGCCCTCGCTGCTTGACTGACTGACGACAGTTGTCCGGCCGTCCTTATATATGAGATCCCTTGGCAGGCTTTGCTTCTCGAACGTTCTCGAATGATCTTCCGATTTATATCACACGGTATATATGACTGTCTTTCTGCATTCATTTAAAACCGATTGAAGGTAAAACCCGGCTGACTTGATTGTTATTACGGCGGGGTCAGTTGAGAATTGTTTGAAAATTATTTTGCCCATTTTTTTTTTCAAGAACAAATTTGTTCAAACAATTGTCATCCAAAAACTTTATTCTGTATTCATTTGTTTGATAGCTATGGGCTCTAAAAATAACAATTTCAAATAAATCTCAACTGACCCCGCCGTGATGATAAATCAAGTCGGCCGGAAAACATTGTTTTGTAAGCACTATGCATTCATATACTATGATTCATATAAAACCGATTAAAACAAAACCCGGCCGACTTGATTTTTATTACGGCGGGGTCAGTTGAGATTTATTTAAAAATGTCAGGGTCCCATAGCTTTTAACCAAATGAAGATGAAAAAAAATTCGGATGGAGGTTGTTCAAGAAAATATGTTCTTTCAGAATATGAGAAAAAAATGGTTACTTTGTGGGAAAGCTAACTTATCTGACGTCATTTCCGCCATTTTGAAAAGAGTTGAAATATGTTTAAATACGAAAAAATATACCTTGTACACAGCTATTCAAATACCCTTTGCCAAATTTGCATTTGCAGTTCTCCTTTTCCTGTTGTACATTGTTGCACTAGTAAAGTAACTTTGCCGCACTAGTGTGGTAACGTTACTTTACAGCACGAGTGTTATTATTTTTTGTTTTCAGGTGTTGTGCGAGTACATAACCAAGAAAATTCCGATACCAATGAGAGATTTTACGTCGGAGCCTCGTTTGATCGTGATCAGATCTTTCGACGTTAACAAACCGGGCTGTGAAGTGAACGACCTAAAAGGGGGCGTGGCCGGAGGGAGTATTTTGAGAGGCGTATTGAAAGTTGGCCAAGAAATCGAGGTATTTTTTAAATTTGTATGGCTTTTTTTTGTTGAAGGAAAACAGCATCAGATGATAGATTTCTGGGGCCTGACCAAGAAAATGTTGAATTTCATCATATTTCTTCCACATTACCACATTATTCCAATGAAAATCTGAATGAGGTTGTATGGAAACAGGTGAATATCTCGGTGACCTGTTGTTAGATTTTTTTGAATTTATGTACAGTGTGATTTCAAAACGTGGCGGATTTGAAAATGTTATAGCCAATGTTGCCACTTTATCAGTTATTCCGGATATTTTTGTAACTTCCTTATTTTGAATGAAACACCCTGTACTTTATTGGATTTTCATATTCTCCTTGAAGAGCTGATTCCATCGATCTATCACACTTGGGGTCTAGCGGGAATTATTACAGAAATATAGGGTGTTCAAAATCGAGATTTTTCAACTTTGAGATTTTTTTGTGACAAAAACTATTCATTATCGGACAGAACGGCTTCCATGTCCGTACCTATAATTTGGATTCACTATCTACTGACATTAAATAATTGAAACAGATACAGGGTGTTCAGAATTTTGAATCTTGAACCACCCTGTAAGTGTTGAAATTATATTATTATAATTAGGTATAGGGTGTTTGAAATATAGATTGTTTGAAATATAGATTTTTCAGTCAAGTTTTTTTTTTGTGTTGAAACTATCCATTATAGATCAAAACCGCTCCGATGTTCCTATCTTTACTTTTGATTTGCTATCTACCGACATTTAATTGGAACAGATGCTATCTACCGACATTTAATTGGAACAGATACAGAGGGTGGTCAGAATTCTGAATCTTGAACCACCCTGTATTTGTTTCAATTTAATGTCAGTAGATAGTAAATCAAAAGTAAAGATAGGAACATTTTAGTAGTTTGGATCGATAATGAATAGTTTTGACACAGGAAAATTCTAAAGTTGAAAAATCTAGATTTTAAACACCCTATCCCTATGTTATCATTCACCGCTAGACCCCAAATGTGATAGATCGATCGAATCAGCTCTTCAAGGAGAATCTGAAAAGTCAATAAAGTACATGGTGTTCCATTCAACATAAGGAAGTTAATAAAAAATCCGGAATAACTGAAAGAGTGGCAACATTGGCTATAACATTTTCAAATCCTCCACGTTCTGAAATCACAATGTACATAAATTTTAAAAAATCCAACTAAAGGTTATCGAGATATTCACCTGTTTCCATACATATCAGCGACCCTGTATTCAGTTTGTAAGGGTCAAGAAGGAAAAACCAGAGGCACATAGGATTTTTCTCATGGGGTCAAAAATTAAACATAGTAGAATTTCGACATTATTTCATCACCACCATTCCAAATAAAATATGAATGAGAGATAACAGAAGCGAATACGATTTATTTGTGAGGTCTAATGGAAAAATGTGACAGCATGGGCGTGCTCGATTTTTTTGTGGGTTCAAAAATTGAATTGAAATGTAGATATTTCTTTGACACCATTCAGAGGAAAATTGAATGAATTACAAAATCAGAGGCGTTCCTATTTTTTTTCAGTAGGATCAATAATAAAAAATGGATTTTTGACATTTTTTCCACGCTCCAAAGATTCCAAGGGTGTACTCGATTCATTTCAATTGAGGTCTACAATAGAAGGAGGAATTTTGAACAGATACCATGAGCCCATTGAATTTTTTTGTGAGATTCAAATGAAAAATGTAACAGATTTCATGGGCGTGCTCTATTTTTTCTGTAGGTTCAATAATGAGAAATGTTGAAATTCCTCGACACAAAGTAAATAAAAATTATTCCAGGGGCGTTCTTAATTTTTTTCGAGCCGACCCTGGATTCCAGGAGCGCATTGTTTTTTTTGTGGAGTCGAAAAATATCGAAACGTTCAAATTTAGATATTTTTTGGCATTGAAAAAAAAAACAATTGTGAATCCAGGGGTGTATTCGATTTTTTTTTTGGTTAGGGTCAGAAACGAAAAATGTTGACATTTGAATATTTCTGACACCATTTAGAAGAAAATCTGAAATACAAAATCAGGTGTGTCAAGAAAAAATGATTTGACATTTCTTCCACACTACAAAGATTCCAAGAGCGTACTCGATTTTTCCTGTGGGGACCAAAAAAAAAAAGTTAGAATTTCGACATTTCTCGATTTTTTTCGATAGGGTCTAAGTTGAAAGTTGGAATTTCTGCAGGGTCGCACACGATTTTGCGGTAAGGTCTAAATGAAAAATGTAACATATCATGGACGTGCTCGATTTTTTCAGTTGGTTCAAAATTAAAAAAAAATGCTGAAATTTCGACAGGTTACACAAAGAAAATAAAAACTATATTCCAGGGGCGTACTAGTTTATTTTTGGGCCATAAATGAAAAAGCCCGTAATTGATTTTTTTCCTCCTATTCCAGGCGAGACCCGTTCTGGTGAGCAGACTCTGAAAAATATAAAAATGAGTTTCAATATCTCTTTCACAGTTCAAAGAAAATAGGTAACAATGACGATTCCAGGGTCGTACTCCACTTTTTCTGTGGGCACCAAAAATAAAAAATTGTTAGAATTTCAACATTGGTCAAAAACTATACCAAATGATACATATAACATATTTCATAAACGTGCTCGATTTTTTCGATAGGGTCAACATTAAAAAATGTTGGAATTTCGACATTTCTTCTCCACCATTCCAAATGAAATAAAAATTATAGATACCAGGGGCGCACACGATTTTTTTGTAAGGTCTAAATGAAAAATGTAACATCATGGACGTGCTCGATTTTTTCAATAGGCTCAAAATTGAGAAAATGTTGAAATTTCGATATTTCTTTGACATCATCCCAAATGAAATATGAATAACTCATTCCAGGGGCGCACTCGATTTTTTTTTTGGTCAATGATCATTATTGAAATCTCGACAGGTCTTTGACACAAAGTTAATAAAAATTACATTCCAGAGGCGCACTAAAAATTTTTTTGGGGGTCAAAAAACAAAAAAATTCTGGAATTTATTTGTGTTTCCTCTTCTAGATGAGGCTCGGTTTAGTGAGCAAAGACTCAGAGGGTAAGCTCACCTGTCGTCCCACTCGATTTATTTTGGTGGGGTGTCAAGAATATAAAAATAAATTTCAATATCTCTTCGACAGTTCAAAGAAAATAGGTAAAAATTACGATTCCAGGGCCGTACTCGATTTTTTGTAAGGTCCTAATAGAAAAAATTCGATATTTCTTTGACATCATTCAAATAAAATATGAATAACTCATTCCAGGGGCGCACTCGATTTTTTTTTGTCAATAATAATATCTCGACAGGTCTTTGACACGAAGTAAATAAAAATTACATTCCAGGGGCGTACTAATTTTTTTTGTGTGGGTGAAAAAACAAAAAAGTCCTGGAATTCATTTGTTTTTCCTCCTCTAGGTGAGACCCGGTTTAGTGAGCAAAGACTCTGAGGATGAGCTCACCTGTCGCCCCACTCGATTTATTCCTGTGGGGGTTCAAAAATATAAGAATGAATTTCAATATCTCTTCGATAGTTCAAAGAAAATAGGTGAAAATGACAATTCCAGGGCCGTACTCGATTTTTTCTTTGGAATTCCAACATTTCTCAGAAACTACCAAATGAAACTTGTAATATATTTCATAAGCGTTCTAGATTTTTTCGATATTGTCAAAATTACACAGTTTTCAAATTTCGACATTTCTTCACCATCATTCCAAGTGAAATAGAAATAATAGATACCAGGGGCGCACACGATTTTTTTTAAGGTCCTAATGAAAAATTTAACATCATGGACGTGCTTGAGTTTTCCAGTTGGTTCAAAAGTAAAAGAAATTTGAAATTTCGATATTCCTTTGACATCATTCAAATTAAATATGAATATCTCATTTCAGGGGCGCACTCGTTTTTTTTTTGGGTCAATAATAATATCTCGACAGGTCTTTGACACGAAGGAAATAAAATTTACATTCCAGGGGCGTACTAAAATTTTTTTGTGGGTCAAAAACCAAAAAAATCCTGGAATTCATATTTGTTTTTCCTCTTTTAGGTGAGGCCCGGTTTAGTGAGCAAAGACTCTGAGGGTAAGCTCACCTGTCGCCCCACTCGATTTATTTCTTTCGAAGGGTCAAAAATGTAAAAATTAATTTCAATATCTATTCGACAGTACAAAGAAAATAGGTAAAAATGACGATTCCAGGGCCGTACTCGATTTTTTGTAAGGTCCTAATAAAAAAATTTCGATATTTCTTTGACATCATTCAAATTAAATATGAATAACTCATTCCAGGGGCGCACTCGTTTTTTTTTGGGTCAATAATAATATCTCGACAGGTATTTGACACGAAGGAAATAAAATTTACATTCCAGTGGCGTACTAAAATTTTTTTGTGGGTCAAAAACCAAAAAAATCCTGGAATTCATATTTGTTTTTCCTCTTTTAGGTGAGGCCCGGTTTAGTGAGCGAAGACTCTGAGGGTAAGCTCACCTGTCGCCCCACTCGATTTATTTCTGTGAGGGGTCAAAAATGTAAAAATTAATTTCAATATCTCTTCGACAGTTCAAAGAAAATGGGTAAAAATGACGATTCCAGGGCCGTACTCGATTTTTTGTGAGGTCCTAATTAAAATATTTCGATATTTCTTTGACATCATTCAAATTGAATATGAATAACTCATTCCAGGGGCGCACTCGTTTTTTTTTTTCGGGTCAATAATCATAATTGAAATCTCGACAGCTCTTTGACACAAAGGAAACAAATATTACATTCCAGGGGCGTACTGTTTTTTTTTTTTGGTGGGTCAAAAACCAAAAAAATCCTGGAATTCATATTTGTTTTTCCTCTTCTAGGTGAGGCCCGGTTTAGTGAGCAAAGACTCCGAGGGTAAGCTCACCTGTCGCCCCATCTTCTCGCGCATCGTGTCGCTGTATACCGAACAGAACGAACTGCAATTCGCGGTGCCCGGGGGCCTGATCGGAGTGGGCACGAAAATCGAGCCGACCCTGTGCAGGGCCGACCGGCTGGTGGGGCAGGTGTTGGGCGCGGTGGGCGCGTTGCCCAGCATATTCATCGAATTGGAGGTGAGTGGGAGGCTGAGTTGCAAAGAATTTAGATTTTTTTAAAGAATCTGAAAATCTGATTTGTATTGAAAAGGAATATTCTCAGCTATTTGAAATGGCTGAGATAATCTATTGGAACAGGTATACTGGGACACCCGGTATATGTATAAAGAAACTAGCTGACCCGGCAAACGTTGTTTTGCCATAAACATTATTTCTAGAAAAAAATTTTTAGATAAATATTTATCAGGAAACTTTCATTATTTTATTTCTACTTCTTTTCAGTTTGTCAATCAATAAAAGCGGGATTCTCTAGTTTTCAAACTACTCTATTTATTTTCTACTTCTCTTTAGTTCGGTACTCTGTACCTCTTCATTTTTTCAAACTACTCTTCATTTTCTACTCACTCCTTTTTAGTTTCGCTATCTATGAAAAGGTGTTTCATTAGTTTTTCAAACTAATATTTATTACAATAGCTGATACCCGGCAAACGTTGTTTTGCTATATACAATTATTTCTAGAAAGAATTTTTTTAGTTAAATATTTATCAACATACTTTTATTATTTTGTTTTCTAGCTCTTCTCTGACCCCGAAAACACCCAGATACAAATTTTGAATAGAATCGGATTATAATTACAAAAACTCTGTTGCCATATTGGATCCTCCATCATTGATTTCCTAATTTTGATGGAGAATCATAATCTCCGATCCCAAAATACCCCAGATACTAATTTGGAATGGAATCGGATCATAGTTACAAAACTCGTCCGCCATATTAAATCTGCCATCTTGGATTTCCAAATTTTGATGAAAGAATCATTATCTCCGACTCCGAAAACCCCCCGATACCAATTTTGCATAGAATCTGATCATAATCAAAAAACTCGTTCGCCATATTGGATCCGCCATTTTGAATTTCCACATTTTGACAAATGAATCATATCTCCGACCTCTAAAACCTTTGGATAACAATAATTTTGAATAGAATCTGACCATAATTACAAAGCTCGTCCGCCATATTGGATCCGCCATTTTGAATTTCCTAATTTTGATGAAGTAATCATAATCTCCGACCTCGAAAATCCCCAGATACCAATTTTGAATGGAATCTGATCATAATTACAAAACTCGTCTGCCATATTGGATCCGCCATCTTGAATTTCCAAAATTTGACGAAAGAATCATAATCTCCGACCTCGAAAACCCCCAGATATCAATTTTGAATGGAAGCTGACCATAATTACAAAACTCGTCTGCCATATTGGATCCGCCATCTTGAATTCCCAAAATTTGACGAAAGAATCATGATCTCCGACCTCGAAAACCCCCAAATACCAATTTTGAATGAAATCGGATAACAATACTCGGCCGCCATATTGGATCCGCCATCTTGAATTTTCGATTCAAAAAATAGATTACGACCGATTCTCATATCTACCGAATACGCACAATTTCATACGAATCGGTCGAGCCGTTTCGGAGGAGTTCGGCCACTAACATCGTGACCGGGACAGGAGGATTTTATATATTAGATACATTTAGATTCGCATTCTCTATGTGATGGAATTATCAATTCTTTCTCGGTTTATTCAACAGAAAACAACTACTTTTCTGGCTATATACCACGACAAACATTGAATTACATCTTTTGAACACAAACGATAAGAATTTGAAAACAAAATCTTCTGAAGCAGAGAATTTGCATTTTCCTTCATATAAAGATATGCATATAATATCATTCTGAATATTCAACAGAAAACAACTACTTTCCTGGCTATTTGCCACGTTGAACATTGAATCATATCTGATGAATATCCAAAAAGAGAGCATGAAAAATCAAAAACATGTTTAGTATTGAAATGAAAATTGAAATGTATAGGAGAAGTATACTTGTATGAACTCCGATCTTGATGAGCTTGGAACTTCCAAAAAAATCATTCGTATCAGTGATATGGGAATCATATCTCTCACAAACAGGTTATGAAATCCTCATCAGTAACCTGAAGTCCAGTTATTCTTTCAGCCATTCTTCATGATATACACAATTTTCATTTCTCTATAATATAACTTAAACTATAACGAACTGAAATCTGAGAATTTAGTCCAATAAATGAAGGAGGAAAAAAAGGCAAAGTTAACGTTAATTACGCACTATTTTCATCTTCCGGTTGGAAGTAGCTTTTGGTACCTCATTAAACATGAGACAAAGTTTGACTGGAAAACCCGTTACACTAGTTAAGGTGTTAAAATGTTTTTTCCTTGACCCCGCTTTTTCTGATTTTATTGAAAAATGGACGACTTCGTCTAAAAAAGTAATTGCACAATCGAAAAGTAGACCTTCTTAGCTTTCAAATGATGTATCATAGAAACCAATCGGATCATGTATAAATTTTTAGTTGATGGTTGTTCACAAAATTTCCCCGCGCTCGAAAAACAGCAAAAAATTGGGATTCAATTAACAAAGATTAAATGAAAATTAAAAAAAATTAGGGTATACAAATTTCAGGGATGACAAAGGACCTTATGAGGACCCATAATCAAGAAAATTTTGAGTAAATTAGTGCAATACAAAAAAAAAATAGGAACAAATTCCTGGCGAGGCCAAAATTGACCGGGAGAAGACAGAAAGTTTGACCCATGTTCCGATATGGCCAAAAGAGTCAAGCGTGACTCAATTCACAGGGTGTGATAGCAGCAGAATTCCTCTTTCACATGAACTTTGAATCATGAGAAAATATGCATTTTTAACAAAGTTATTGAATAATTTGTCCCCCCGCCGATGTGTAAATACACGGACTGTGCTCTCCGGCATACAACAGAAGCTAATTATTCGAGGTGCGCTTCGTGCCGTTTTTCTCGAAACCGGGCAAATTTTCGAGAAAAATGATAAGGACAATTTTTGTAGAAAATTAACTGAACTTCAATTTTTATCTGAACCGAAAATCTCTAACTGCCATATTTTAGGAGATATTGGCTGAAAACCTATTTTCCTGGTCTTTTGGGGCCATTTTCTCCGCCATCGCACCCGTTTTCCAGTCAAACTTTGTCTCATGTTTAATGAGGTACCAAAAGCTACTTCCAACCGGAAGATGAAAATAGTGTGTAATTAATATTAACTTGTTCCCTTTATTTATTGGACTAATTATAACTTGTTGACATTAGTTTGAATTGTTCTGAAATTACTAGATATTTCGTGATATTGATAGATCCCATACAATTCCTAGAAACTTTTTTCCAATCCTAAAAATATTTTCTCCCATTCCAGGTGAGCTACTACCTACTGAAACGCCTTCTGGGCGTGCGCACCGAGGGCGACAAAAAGGGCGCCAAAGTGCAACGGCTCACCAAGAGCGAAGTTCTACTAGTCAACATCGGTTCGCTGAGCACCGGCGGCCGAGTGGTAGCGACAAAGGCCGATCTGTGCAAGATTGCGCTGACCAATCCCGTGTGCACGGAGATAGGGGAGAAGATAGCGCTGAGTAGGCGAGTGGAGAAGCATTGGCGTCTGATTGGCTGGGGCCAGATCCGCGGAGGGGAGACGATCGAACCGTCGAATAACTAATTGGGTGGTAGGACGCGCTTGGTAATTCTTCTTTTTTTTTTTTCGTTTGTACTAGGGATTTTTTATTGTAATTAGAGCTTGACATCTGTGAGCGTTTGGGATTTTCTATAAGTACATTATTATTGACTGGAAATAAAAGTTTCTTCAGCGATTTTTTTTCTACTGTGGTTATGGAAAAGATGGTGAGTTGCTTTTATATTTGAATAACTGAAGAATATAAAGAAATTCCTAGAAATATCTAGGAGTGGAAAACCAATTGATTTCTAGAAATTCAAAGGAAAACCAAGGAATTTTGAGCGATCCTGAGGAATTGAAGGTAACATCAATAAATATATAGGGTTGTGGAAAACCAAGAAATTTCTAGGAATACCAAGAAAAAGCAAGAAATTTATATAGTACTGGAAAACAGGATAATATATACATAAATATATGGGAATTTTCGTTAACTCACCATGAAATTTCAAGGAATTACCAATTCCTAGGAAAACAATTTGTTTCAAGAAATACCATGAAATATCTGAGATTTTCAGCGAATTTAGTATGTAAATCTAAGAAATGATGAAAAGTGTCTAAGACTTTCAAGGAATTGCATTGAAATTGAAACACCCTGTATATAATTATAATTTCTGCTGCAGAGGCATATGAGAACATAGGTATGAGTTTTTTCCATGAATATGACAGAATTGAAGAATACAATAATTGTAATTTGAATAACATTTCCTCGCGTTGCATATATTTTTTATGCCATAGTTTCAAAAGCTAGTTGAAATTGAACATTTATGCATCACCAAGAGCGAAGTTTTGTTGGTCTACATCGGCTCGCTTATCATGGGCTCGCTGAGCACCGGCGGCCGAGTGGTGGCGACCAATGCCGATGTGCGACATGTTTTCTGAAGAAGACTGTACATTAATTATTATTAACAGAAAGTAAAAGTTTCCTCAGCTTTTTTTTTCTAAGTTGCTTTTAGAAGGTTCGTCGAAATTAACTGAAGAATTCAAAAAAATATATAGGAGTGGAAATCCAATTAATTTCTAGGAATATAAAGGAGTCCCAGGAAATTCAGAGGAAATCCACGGGATTCCCAAGAAATTTTGAGCATTCCTGAGGAATTGAAAGAAACATTAAAAATGTATGGTTGTGGAGAACCAAGACATTTCTAGGAAAATACCAAGAAAATCAATGGATACTAACAAATTTTCAAGAATGTTTTAACAATTACAAGAAAAATCAAGGAATTTATAGGATAGAGAATCAAGAAAATTCTATATAAATACAGAGGAATACAAAAAAAAATTCAAGAAAATATCAAGCTATATATTCTGACCAAAAATATCCAAAATAAACTAATAAATCCAAGAAATACATAAATGAATAAAAATTTCAGGTAATTCATCAAGAACTTTTGAGGAGTTAACAGGAAATTCTACGATTTTCAAGGAATATCCAGAATATTGAAACACCCATAATAATGTTATCCCTCATTGGTCGTAAAGTTCCATCTAGAGAGTAAAAACGTAAGTTTGCTCTATTTGTTCAAATCAACATTATATTTCTCGATAAAACAGGCCATAGCCTTTAGGGCCCAGCAAAAATTTGGGATTTTTGACTTTTACATAAACCTCACTACAGTGCAAGGTTGCCATCTCAGCGGTTCTGTCGCTAAATCTAGAGTGTTGGGTAGGTGAATGCGACATTTCAACTTGATTTGCGACGTATCGGAATTCTAGCGTTTTCAACATAGTCCTAGCGGTTTTTCTGGAGATATTTTGATATATGAATTTGTGACGACGAATATGAATTCACATTGAAATATTAGAAGATGACAGGGTTTGTTTTCATCATTTGTGATATATGTCTCGTGAAAATTAGGAAATATGATCAAAAATTTCGCTAAATTAAGGAAGAAAGTCGCTAAATTTTCAAAAAGCTCTCCTACGGTGAGCTTTCTGCTCGCTTCGCTCGCTATAGCGACTTCAAGCGGTATTTTTCGTGACTTTTTATGTTCAGCAGCTGGCAACACTGACAGTGACTGCATTTAACCTCACTTTTTAGTAGCGCCAACTGGTGGGACAAAATGTTAGCCCACAATAAATGACACTAAACTCATCTCACTTGTGTGATTATTTTTGACAAACATCAATAATTATTCATCAAAATACTTCTCTTGCAGTCATAAAATGTTTGAGATGTAAAATTGGCCCATATATAATTACTTATTTCAATATTATAGAATTTAAAAAACAAGTTGTACAACAAAAAAATAAAATTTATTAAACATTGTAAAGATATTTTATAAACATGGAATTGATTTGTCACCAAAATTTAGGCACTAAGTATATACATTCATTATCAATTGAGCTTTCCACCAGTTTTATATGATCTCCATCAGGTATCAACATTATTAAAATATACAATTAGAGCTAAGAACCCCAAGGGTTAATCCTTTTTCTCGTCAGATTCCTTCTTATCAACATAGTGGTGTTTGACAAACCTACTCAGTTGAGCCAGCTGTGCTCCTTCATTGGTAAAATGGCAAGCAAACAGCAGCAGATTCTGTGGTTGCACTTTCCAAGCAAATCTCATGAACATTGCAGAGTATAGACATAGTGCTGAAAAAGTTGTTGATTCAGTTATGTAATTTACAGATTTATGATTTCTACTTGCCCACTGTCATTGTTCCACTGATATATTTAGGGTCTTTCCGGATGTCTGCTATGGCAGCCAAAGGGATGCCCCAATTTGCTACTGGGCCCCAAAAATGTGTGCTAGTTGGAAAATGTTAATTACTTCTAGTTAATAGACAACTTTCATAGCAGTAAAATAGTATCCTTGATATCTACATTGTGGTAATTGTATGGCATATTGAAAACTTGTATATGTTATTTACCTCATCAAATAAGTTCGAAATTCTGGTGATTTCATTTGGTCCACAAGTTTTTTGCCTAAGGAAGCCATGTTTAGGTCTTATGGTGATTCGATATTTGCCAATTATTGGAATGGAATGTTATATTTATTTATCGTTCAAAAATTTTTTAAAAAGGACTTTTGAAGGTTAAATATTAGCCCTTTCTTTTGTACGAAAAGTGTAGCAAATTCGTACACTTCGTGTAATTTCCACCGCAAGTTTTTCGAGTTTTTGGCTTCATTGTTGCCGAGACGTGCGAAATGTATGACTTTAAAACAACCATGACTTTATGATCCTGTGAATCTGTGTTATGATAGAACATTATTAGCACTTAGGGGAGCAAAAAACAATTATCAATGAAAAGAAAGCTGTGCTTTTGCGTCGTAAAGCGGCGTTCACAATCAAACTTTTTACGTTATCTACTATTCTGTGGATTCACGAAAAAATCATGAAAACATTATCATAACTTCCATATTATTACAGAATGTTCTATATTATTCGTCTATTTTTACTATTTTCACAGACGATAGCTTCCTGCAACTATGTTGCAATGCGAATAGCTGAATATTTTCAGCTTTTTGCGTCATTTCAATTACAGATTTTGCTTCATCAATCAGAATACGGAACATAAAAAGTTTGGTTGTGAACGCCGCTTAACTACCGTGACAAAACGGGAAAATATCTAAAGTGCACTGGAGTCAATTTACACTACACTCACACGAACATTCCTTTTAAAATGCTTTTATCATTTTTTTATTTTTAAAGGTTAGAGGTTAGGACTAGTAAGTAAGGACAGTCTCGGGCACAGAGGATTCTACTTTTTGGTTTTTTGTCTCGAGAGAAAGTGAACAGTAGAACGGGAATAAAATAAACTCATACAAAATGTCCATAGATGAAATCACCGTTAGAAACGGTATATTATTCTTCCTATGGGTAGAATTTGTGTGGGAGATGTACCTTTCCATCAGACAGGTAAGTTTGTCTAGAGAAGAGTTTGGAAAAATATCAGGAAACCCATTTTTTTCCAGTTCAATAAAGCGCGCAGTACAAATGATGTTCCTGAAGCTTTGAAAACAGTGATGAAACATGAAGAATTTGACAAAGCCAAGCAGTACTCCTTGGCAAAATTGAAATTTGGTTTTGTGAAGGATACTCACTCTATTTTCCTGACTTCAGCTCTTATATATTATGGGACTTTAGCTTATATTTGGGATTATGCACACAGTATTAATCCTGTAAAAGGTGAAGTCACAACTAGTTGTATTTGGTTATTCATGCTATCTCTACTGTCCACAATAATTGAATTGCCTCTCACCATTTACCATACTTTTGTGTTGGAAGAAAAGTTTGGTTTCAATAAACAAACTGCAGGATTCTTTGTTTGGGACAAAATAAAGGCTTTTTTTGTAAGCCAACTCATAACTGTAATGATATCTTCAGTGATAATAGTGATTATCAAAAGTGGGGGCCCATACTTCTTTATTTGGCTCTGGGTAGTTGTATGTATTATCTCTATGTTACTCCTTACAATATACCCAGCTGTTATAGCACCACTGTTTGATACATACACTCCTCTTCCTGAAGGTGAATTAAGAACACAGATTGAAAACTTGGCATCACAGTTGAAATTTCCTTTGACACAATTGTATGTAGTAGAGGGCTCCAAGAGATCTTCACATAGTAATGCTTATTTCTATGGATTGTTCAAATCTAAAAGGATTGTTTTGTTTGATACCCTTCTAGCTAAAGATGATGGTAAAGGCTGTCAAAATGATGAGATCCTAGCTGTTTTGTCACATGAGTTAGGTCACTGGAGTTGTAATCATATAATCAAGAATTTGATCGTGATGCAAGTGAATTTATTTTTGTTATTTGCAGGGTTTGCTTTTATGTTCAAATATCCTCCTTTATACAAAGCTCTAGGTTTCTATAATATACAACCTGTATTGGTTGGGTTATTTGTAGTGCTTCAATATGTAATGATGCCCTATAACACCTTACTCAGTTTTTTGATGACAGTTTTATCTAGGAAGTTTGAGTTTCAAGCTGATGAATTTGCTGTTAATTTAGGCAAAGCTGAACCACTGGAAAGAGCTTTGTTACAACTGAATAAGGATAATTCAGGGTTCCCTATTAATGATGACTTGTATTCAGCTTGGCATCACTCCCATCCTCCTCTCTTAGAACGAATATCTGCTCTTAGAGAGAGTGCTAGGAAACTTAACTAAGACTGATAAGTTTGAATTATCTTTAAGGTTTATTCAGTGTTTGTCAAACATTCATCTTTTTGTGAGTTGATAGAACTTTGTAATGATGTTTCATCTTGGAAAAAATATATTATACATTCACAGAAGATATTGTTTTTACTGATTGCATTCTTTAGTAAGTAGGTATGGTATATGTACCTAACTAAGTACCTACTCAATGTTAAAGAACACATATTCAAACCACAATTTACTTTATTCAAATTGAAAACTTCCTCATGTAACCGTGCCTTAATTCAACTTTGAACCACCTGATGGGGTAAAAAACGAAAATAGGAAGTTTACAAAAAAAAATCTATAATCATTGAACATGTCATGGTTGGAAGATATGAGCGCTTTGAAGCGCTGACAAGTGACACCGTCCAAAAATATTTGGCCAGCCACTGGGACTCAGGTATTCCAAGACAGCCAAGAGGAGAGAGGGGCCTATGCAGCATTTCTGTTTGTTTTGATTTTTGAGAAAACTTCTAGTTTGAAGTCAAATTTCAACTTTGGTTATATTCTGTTTTCTGTTCCTCAGAGAATCTTCTGTATTTTTGATTAATCAACTCACTACTAAGTACTTAGCCGCATCGGTTCTAGCTCTCAGGGCTGTCCATGCGATATTCAAAGCCAATAGCCATAAGTGCCATAACCAGTACAAGGTTGGTGAAACTCATTAAAATAACTATCATCAATTCTACAAACCTTGAATTTAGTAAAGGTTGGTAGAATTAATGATTATTTGTGATCATCCATTTTACCAACCTTGGAATGTATTTCGTCAAGGTTGTTGGAACTGATTATTTAGTGAAAAAGACTGCTACCTATGAGCAACCGCTTGAAACTGGAGCAGAAAACAGAACCAAATGGGCAACCGAACAGTAAACTGTTAAGAATCTACAGTGAAAGCTTTTATAGCACAGAAAAGGAGAATGCAAAAATACCGATTAGTGAAAAAAAAATAGAAAGATATTCAACATATGGAGAACACCCTCTATATGCAAGTATACAGCCCATCTCACGCCTCGAGCTGGATCTGGATGAAAAAAGTTCTAATAAGGGTTTCAGTGCATTCAGACAATTTTTTTCAATTTTTGATCAAGGATATCTCGGGAAATAATAAAGATGAAAACAAACGGATTGCAGATTCTTGTTCAGCACATCGAGAACACCCTGTATGCAAGTTTCAAGTCAATTCTGACGCCTCGAATTGAATGAAAAAAGTTCAAAGGGGTTAACCTTGTTTCATTTTCAGACCCAAAAATCAACTTTGTCGTAGTGCCTTCAAATTTGGTATTCAGGGCCCTCAAGGGATGCCCTAATGCGGAGTAGAAGCACAGCTCTCTAGCTTTTATTTTAACAAAATAGTAATATTTCACCAGTTTTTCCTTCCTTGTGGTACCTATGATAAAAAATGGCTCGATCTAGTACGCCTCAATTTCTAGCGGAACTAAAATTTATTCATGTATTCTGCCTACGAAAAGAATAATTCTTCGCCATCATTTCAAGGATCTTTGACATTTTTTTTCAACTTTTGTGCGGGAATATTACGGGAACCAATAGAGATAAGAACAAAGGGATTGCAGATTCTTGTTCAGCACATCGAGAACACCCTGTATGCAAGTTTTGAGTCAATTCTGACGCCTCGAATTGGTTGAAAAAGTTCAAAGGGGTTAACCTTGTTTTATTTTCAGACCAAAAAATCAACTTTGTCGTAGGGACTTCAAATTTGGTATACAGGGCCCTTGAGGAATGCCCAAGTGCGGAGTAGAAGCACAGCTCTCTAGCTTTTAATTTACCAAAAAAGCAATTTTTCATCTGCTTTTCCATCCTTGCGGTACCTTCGATAAAAATTGCTCGATCTAGTACGCCTGAATTTTTAGCAGAACTATATTTATTCACGTATTTTGCCAACGAATAGAATAATTCTTTGCCATCATTTCAACGATCATTGACTTTTTTTTTTTCAATTTTTGTCCAGGAATATTACGGGAACCAATAGAGATAAGAACAAACGGATTGCAGATTCTTGTTCAGCACATCGAGAACACTCTTTGTGCACTTTTCAAGTCATTTCTGACGCCTCGAATTTGATGAAAAAAGTTCAAAGGGGTTAACCTTGTTTCATTTTCAGACACAAAAATCAACTTTGTCGTAGGGCCTTCAAATTTGGTATACAGGGCCCTCAAGGGATGCCCTAGTGCGGAGTAGAAGCACAGCTCTCTAGCTTTTATTTTAACAAAATAGTAATTTTTCACCTGTTTTTCCTTCCTTGTGGTACCTATGATAAAAATGGCTCGATCTAGTACGCCTGAATTTCTAGCGGAACTAAAATTTATTCACGTATTCTGCCTACGAAAAGAATAATTCTTCGCCATCATTTCAAGGATCTTTGACATTTTTTTTCAACTTTTGTGCGGGAATATTACGGGAACCAATAGAGATAAGAACAAAGGGATTGCAGATTCTTGTTCAGCACATCGAGAACACCCTGTATGCAAGTTTTGAGTCAATTCTGACGCCTCGAATTGGTTGAAAAAAGTTCAAAGGGGTTAACCTTGTTTCATTTTCAGACCAAAAAATCAACTTTGTCGTAGGGACTTCAAATTTGGTATACAGGGCCCTTGAGGAATGCCCAAGTGCGGAGTAGAAGCACAGCTCTCTAGCTTTTAATTTACCAAAAAAGCAATTTTTCATCTGCTTTTCCATCCTTGCGGTACCTTCGATAAAAATTGCTCGATCTAGTACGCCTGAATTTTTAGCAGAACTATATTTATTCACGTATTTTGCCAACGAATAGAATAATTCTTTGCCATCATTTCAACGATCATTGACTTTTTTTTTTTCAATTTTTGTCCAGGAATATTACGGGAACCAATAGAGATAAGAACAAACGGATTGCAGATTCTTGTTCAGCACATCGAGAACACTCTTTGTGCACTTTTCAAGTCATTTCTGACGCCTCGAATTGGATGAAAAAAGTTCAAAGGGGTTAACCTTGTTTCATTTTCAGACCCAAAAATCAACTTTGTCGTAGGGCCTTCAAATTTGGTATACAGGGCCCTCAAGGGATGCCCTAGTGCGGAGTAGAAGCACAGCTCTCTAGCTTTTATTTTAACAAAATAGTAATTTTTCACCTGTTTTTCCTTCCTTGTGGTACCTATGATAAAAAATGGCTCGATCTAGTACGCCTGAATTTCTAGCGGAACTAAAATTTATTCACGTATTCTGCCTACGAAAAGAATAATTCTTCGCCATCATTTCAAGGATCTTTGACATTTTTTTTCAACTTTTGTGCGGGAATATTACGGGAACCAATAGAGATAAGAACAAAGGGATTGCAGATTCTTGTTCAGCACATCGAGAACACCCTGTATGCAAGTTTTAAGTCAATTCTGATGCCTTGAATTGGATGAAAAAAGTTCAAAGGGGTTAACCTTGTTTCATTTTCAGACCCTAAAATCTACTTTGTCATAGTCCTTCAAATTTGGTATACATGGTCCTCAAAGGATGCCATAGTGCAGAGTAAAGACAATTTGCCAATTTTTACCTGCTTTTCTTTTCTTAAAAGGTACCTTTGATAAAAAAATGCTGAATCCAGTATATCAACTGACTGGAGTGGAGATCACTAACATGAGAATAATTGGATATTCAGGGGAAGTGATTTAATTCCCCTTAAATATTTGCATTTCCCAGTAAATTGTTGTCCTTTAATAGATTATTTAATTTCCAATGGAGAGACAATATTAATGTTTTCACTATATTAATATCTATATTCAATATTAAATTATTTAACAATGAAATTACACAGCAGCACTGATGACTTCAGTATATTTCTTGATTTTGCTAGCAACAGACATGTCCACATATCTGTCCCCAACACTAACAACCATTCCTCCAATGATGGTGGGGTCTACTTTTGTTGTGAGGTGAATGGATTCATTGGGCTTCACGAATGACTTCAAGACTCCTTGCAATTTCTGTTTTTGGTCTGCATCCAACTCCTTTGCAGTTGTCACTTCACAGGTCACCTAAAATCAATGATCCACATTATCAACTTGAACAGGCCAAATTCCTGACTTAATAACACCATACCTCTCCTCTGTGAGCAGACATGATAGTCCTGAATGCATTGATGACACCATCCAGTTTCTTCAGTCTACCATTCTCAGCTAATAACTGCAGGAGGTTAGCAGTCTCTGGCTTCAGGGAGATCTTTTGGGCAACCACTTTCAGACCATCAGCCTTGATGCTACGTTTGATGATCGGGTTCTCGATGAATCCTAGTAGTTTGGGGTCTGTCTTCATGGAAGTCTGGAATTTGATAAGGTCCTTTTCCACACTGTCCAAAGTTTTCTGTTTACTGGCGGCAGAGTAAAGTGCTGTCGCATATCGACCTTCGATTCCGAAGATTTGTATCGGGGGCTTGACGAGCTGCTGTACGGCACTGCTCGTACTGAAGTTACGTACCTAGGAGAGAAAGATAACCTTACAAGTTATGTAACATTGAAATTTCGCAGAGATGGAAAAATCATTGAATGTAGTGAACTCACGGCTAGGGACAGTTTTTGAGAGGCCATTCCGAAGAATCAGTGTACTACTTGTATCTTGTAACAAGGAAGAGAATAATTAGAGAAAATTATTAAACCAACTCCAACTTCTCTTCAAATTACAATAACACTGACAGTAGTGACAAGGATGACAAGTGACAATATTGACATTGACACAGCCTCAACCTTAGATCATAAACATAGCTTAGATCAAGGATATCTCTCGCAAGTAAATCAATTAGTAGCATGCTGCTGTGCTGCTTGTTGTGATAAACAAGCCAACACACGATATTTCTTCTTTCTTCATAGTTAGAGCAATGATAGGAATAAGTAGATGGTGCGCGTACTCGGCTGTTTTTGAAAACTTTTAAAAATCACTCGAGCGCATACTCTCGTCTCGAGCGAGACGTTGAATCTACGTTTTTCAGCAAGATGATGATGCTGCTATTGCTGCTGTGACGGTTTCGCGGAACATATGTGAAAGTAGGTTCATTCATTGTTCTCGAGAGGTCGAGAAGAATTTCTGAAACGAATGCTCATCAGTGTACACCATAGAACTTACGAATAGCACGATAGCTCAGTGGTCTGTGTATCTGAGTTCCACGGCGGTGGCTCGCGTTTGAATTTCTGCGAGGCGTTTTTTATTCAATTTTTTTCACAGGTAATTATTCGAAAAATATACTTGTCAGAAAAAGGATCATTTAGGACGAATTCGGTTGGAAAGTCACCTTTTTCATGCAGAAACTATATTTTCCTTACTCATAATAGCTATAACCTTTTTCCGCAGCATGGCAGCATGCTACTAATAGAATGACTGGCGAGAGACGTATGTATAATCCTTGAGCTTATCACAAAAATAAACATTTCACAGTGACACAGAAGATGACAATTTTATAGGGATCACTGATATGATCTGAAGCAAAATATTTTAAGTTCGTTTATCCTTGCTCTACCTGCTGAACTAAATTTTTTTCTATGACTTTCTTTTTTTAAATCATGCCATGAACAGAGACATAGCCGGCTCTATTTAAAGAAGGTTATGACAGAGACAACTATGGGAAAAATTCAACTTTAGCAAGTCTAGCAATACAAACAAAAATGCCTCTGGTAAACACCGGTATGCTTAAGTGAAGAGCTACAAACTTCGATATTCGGGCCACACAGTGGTCACATTTTTGTGAACTCGAGAGGAATGTTCGTTTGTATTGCTAAACTTGCTAAAGTTGTTTATTTTTCCATAGTTGTCTGTTCATGGCATAATGTAAACAGAGAAAGTGATAGAAAAAAATCAAGTTTAGCAGGTAGAGCAAACACAAACGAACAGGCCTGAGCAGTCATTCCAGATGCTACTATAATTCCGTGAACGAAACAAAGGATCAACGATCGTACGTCACGTCATTCTTGTCAATTTATAGAGAAGCAATCATCAAGACAACCAAATGAACAAGAAAATGGATCCAAATCAGATTATTCAGATTGGATCATGGGGGGAAGAAGCAAAAGATTCAAAAGTTGATATCGAGGTTTATGATTCAGTTAAAAATTGCCAATATTCGGTTTTAGTACACCCAAATTCTGTGGGTTTAGAAGGTATATAAAATGCTCTTCGCCATTTTATCTGATTCCTTTGGCGAAAGTTTGTATACCCTTTTATTTCAGGTAGTTCAGATAATGAAGAACAGAACCTCACAGAATCGACTGATTCCTTACAACCAACAGTTTGGAATCAAACTGAAACGCTCGCTCTTATCAATATCTTCTCCCTACATCTAGACAAATTCAAACAATTCAAGATGAAAAAGCAAAGATGGGTTCTGATTTCCAATGAGTTGAAAAAAATTGGTATTGATAAAACACCCGAAAAATGCAATATCAAATGGAGAAATTTGCTGAGGTCATATAGAGCTCACAAGAGTATTAGAAAGGATCATGGAAGATTCGAGTTTTATAATGAACTTAATGCCATTCTGACCAGTGATTCCTATCAACAAGTTGAAAATACTATACCTGAGGCAAGTATATTTGATTCACCAGAAATTAAGGTTTCCTTAGATGAACCATGTTCAAAGAGAAAGAAATGCTGTGCCAAAAGTGAAAAACAAAAAAGGCATGAAGATCGCATGAGTTTATTGAGGAAAAAGGTAGAAATAGAAGAAAGAAAAGTCAAGGCTTTTGAAGACTATATACAGTTTTTGAAAAATTCTCATGTAAGAGAATAGTGAAGCATTGCATTTATTGGAAGAAATTGCAGTCACATGTAATTTCAATTTCTCAGGAGGAAATTATCATTGAAAAAAATTATACAAACTAAATCTAGTTTCTATAAACACTACTTCTGATGGTGTCCTCAAAATAGCAAGGACAAGCTTGATATTCTTGATTAAACCTAATCCAGTGCTGTCTTTTTTATTAAAATTTGAATTTAGTTCATAACTTCCTGTTTGTTTATGCTGGGTTTATAAGTTTATAGATTCCATCAAACCAACAATTAGGAATTAACAATTAATAATCATGAGGGTGTTTATATACAGGGTGTTTCAAAAAAACATAAACCCCTTGCTAGGGTAGGTGGAACATTGCAAAATAAGTTGGGTTTGCTCAGTAAAAGTTTCCAAGATACAAGGTGTTGAGACAATATTTTTTTACAAATTTTTTACGATCATGTTGAAACTACTGGCAACATTGTGATGAAATTTTATATAGTTGTTTCTTGGAATCTGACACATCGCATGCATTCGTTTTTATAACTGCGATATGACTCTCATAGAGGGCGCTTACACGGTTCGTACCGAGTAGTTTTGAAAATAGCTTTTTTGAGGTTAGATTTTTCAATCTAAATTTGATGTGAACTTGAACATCATTCAATCACACCAAAAAGGTACTCTTGGTAAAACTCGATTTTGAGTTCAGTTTTCGGAATATTTCGATTTGAAAATGATGAAGTGGCTAACTGTTAAACTGTATAAAGCTATGTATAACCTCAAGAAACCTATATTCAAAACTACTCGGTACGAACCGTGTAACTAGCGCCCTCTATGGGAGTCAGATATAAAAACGAATTCATGCGATGTGTCAGATTTCAAGAAACATCCATACAAAATTTCATTACAATGTTGCCAGTAGTTTCGGAATGATCGTGAAAAATGTGTGAAAAAATAATTTTTTCAACACCTTGTATCATGAAAACGGTTGGCGTTACGACATTTTTTCACTGAGCAAACCCAACTTATTGTTCTACCGACCCTAGCAAGGGGGTTAGGTTTTTTGAATCATCCTGTATATCTGAGGAGATCAATTAAGAATTAAATTTGACATGTCTTTTGATTGAAGATCAAAATGATGTTGAAAAGTGATTTTGGTGTCCAGAATAATTCATGAATCCTCAAAAAATATTTGTAAACCGTCATAGATGTTTCCTTGTATTCAACTTTTTAAGTTCATAGTTGTTATAGTTCAATTCTTAGTTCAGTTGAATCTATAAACCCAGCATTTTAGGATTATTAGTTACAAAATATTGTTATATGTGTTATTTTAAAAAAAGTTTTATTAAATAAATTATTCTGAATTTCGAATATTTATTTTTCCTTTTCAAAATAGGAAGTCTGTGGTACCATAACTTGATCATTGTAATTTGGCTCAAATACTCTTCAAATATCTAATCAGAAATACAACCAATATGCCAAATGAGATGTAGGTGGCGCTGCCCCTGAAGAAATGTTTACACTGGTGAAATGAAAATTTAGCAATAGATTATTCTGTTGTAAACAATATTTAACAATGGCTAGGAAAGCATAGAAGGGTCACAAAAAATAGAAGAGTACAAATTACTGCAACTTACAACTTGCAGTAATTCATTTGTATAAGGTGGCTCAATCTCCATGAAGAAATGTGAACATCTAGGAGGCGAAACGGTGACGTCACTGACGGGAATGAATTTTTTTTCAGATTATGCCATATCTTCAAACAGAAACAGGAATATCACAAGATTACTTTTATTTCCGATCAGTTCTTTTGGAAATTTTAAACCTGTTATGGGATAAAATAAATTAAAATTGTACAAATCCTGTATAACTACGACCAAGTATAAGTCTTATTCTCACTAGTGTACTTCAAACATTCAACGTTCGTCACACAGCTGTCGTCAGGCTCGCAAAACAAACTCAAAACCTTGGGCAACAGCCCGCAATCCGAGAGGTTCTCCTTGCCGAATACCGCTGTCCCCTTTTTCAGCACGTCAGACCTCCTCTCGCTATTTTTCAGTCTGCTGAAACACTCGGTACTCCTGACGTTGCTGAAAGTGGCCGTCACGCTGTGCTCGGGCGAGTTGATCGCGAACAAATTGTGCAGGGTGCTAGGCAGAATGGGGCCCGACAGGTCTAACGAGTAGTAGTCGGCATCGTCGACGTGCACCTTGCTCTCGCGCACTTTCAGCGCGTTCAGCGAGGCCCCCTGGAAGTAGTGATGTTGAAATTTGAATTTGAAATAATGGATAATCCGAGTAGATCACGACAGGACTGGCAGGAGGCTGGAGCTGCCGACAAGCGTGCATGTACGTGACGTCATAAGTCTTAAGCGTCTCGGAGTAGGAATGTAGAGGGTAGTTGGCTTCATTCTGATAGGTTATGAATGTAGTAGACCTCTGTTGGATTGTGCTTGCTCTACCTGCTGAACTTGATTTTTTCCATTACTCTCTGTTTACATTATGCCATGAACAGATACGAAAATATTAAATCAATGAATCACAACCCGCCACGCCACATATGAGAGAGTTGAAGTACACACGGTACGTAGACCTCACAGAACTCATATTACTTACAAAGTAATGAGTTCTGTGGTAGACCTCCTTAAATTGAGTTGAAGTCATCAGTGTCATCGTAGCCTAAAAATGAATTTTGGTTTTCCTTTTGTGGTCCTTTTTGGTTGTTTGTTTTGATCTGAACATTAATTCGTGTTAAAATGAGGGGAATTTTTGAAGAAGAACTTTTTGGAGATCCAGGATTCAATGACCCAATGGTATATTTCGGTTAACGTTCGTTGATATTTAAGGTGTACGTGAAAGTACGCAAGATACCGTACACCCGTAAGCCCATTACCAGCGCATGATCATCTACGTTTTCCGTTCATGGCAGCACTTCAACTCTCTTAGTCGCTGAACTCCATCAGGTCAGAACAGAATGAAGCCGACAACCATTTTCTTCCTACTCCGAGACGCTCGTTATCTGCGAGAGGCAATTCGAGAAAATCACGTGAAGTACTATAGGTGGCGCTAGAAAAAGTCCCTGTAGTCAGTGTAGTAAAAGCGTCAAATCGAAGGTTTCAATACAATCTAGTCCGTTCGTTATACGTTATCAATGTAAATAGAGTAGCCTAGGAATTCAAATTCTTTTGAAGAAGCATCATTCCAACAGATTTTCGAGTAATACCGATCGAAATAAAATGAAGAATCCAGTAAAACCATAGCCCTTCGGACGACTTCGAAAATTTGAAATCAGATGTCGCCCACATCGTGATTTTTTCGAATTCCCTCTTCATAAAAGAATTTACAATATAGCGCTTGGCACAGCAAGCTAAGCATCCGACTGCCACGCCTGAGGGCTCGGATCCAATCCTCGGGAGGCTAAACTCATGTTCATTTGTTGTTTCAAGTTAATTTAGGACAATATACTTTCTAGGAAGAAGGTCCATTCAGGCCGTGTTAGGTTAGATTGTTTAGAAAAAGTAGTATCTCTTGTTAATCCCAGCACTTTTCCGGAAAACAAACTTTTTGGAAGAAAGTTAATTGTGGCACCGAGTGATGTTATATTGTTTGGAGAAATTAGAAAGAATATTTTCCTCAATGAAATTAGCATAAATCATTATAATGCAGCCACGGCAGCCAGCAGCGGTAGCGCTAGCGAACAGCCACAGCGCCATAAAACAGCGACAGTCTCCTGCCGCGATCCACTTGACATCTGACGGCTGACGTGACACGTGACAACTGTTCAGTGACAACTTTCCGATTGATTGATTTGAATGATGATCGCTTTGGGATTATTTAAATTATTTGAATCGCCAGAATGCGATTATATAGATAATCCGATTATGAACAGACAGTATTTAATGAACACACTACCTGAAAGGCGACCGGCGCCAACAGGGTGGGAGGGATGCCGGCCAGTGGGCCCGTCACTGCTGTCGAGCTTTTGCAGTTGATGAGGAAGTTGTAGAAGGCATGCACCTCCACACCCTCCACCACCACCAGGCTTTGGTCGCTGTTGTCGACATCGCATTCCGCTTTGTGAATCAGTTTTTCCTGAAAGAGAAGAGTTCCAAGGTTGGTAGAATTGAAGATTATTTGTAGAGGAAGGTTGCCTGGATCAGCAGAACCATATACGTATTAATAAACAATACGGATCATAACGGGTGCCAGGATGAAGCCAAAAATATGAAACAAATGAATATCCATAAGGATTTGGTGGCATGATACGCATGCGCCATGCGTTATTATAGTAGTCATCAAAGACATGCGTTTCGGTGGACAATGACGTTTACTAGCCTTTCAATCAAAGCAGTATGTGTCTGATCGTTTCAAAACTTTTCCTTATGGATAGTCATTTGTCTTCAAAAATCGGCTTCATGTTTCGCTATGGAAACAGATAGGGATTATCCGTATTGATTATTAATACGTATATGAGCAGAACGCGGTGAGGGGAAGTGGTACTTCGTGACGTAATCCCATCGACAATTCCATCTCTGAGTCATGGGAATCCATATTCTACAACTGTCTTCAAGTAAATTTGATAAAGCTACTCCTTGTATACAGTACAAACTACAACCGTGGACTTCGTAAAGATGTATCGTGGCTTTATTATATAAAGAATTACAAGCACAAAGTAAAGACGTTTACATGAATTATAAAAACAGTCACTCTGACATTTTTCATTTTTGACTGAACTACAAGGTGATTTTTCTTTATATTCAACACTTCCTCTAAATAAAACATCATCATTTCCGTTCAACAACACCCAACATCTTGCGGAGTTCTTGAAAACGAATACGGCCTAGTGGTTTCGTCATTATATCTGCAACTTGATGCGAACCATCAACATGTTCAATTTTTATTGAGCCTTCTAAATACTTTTCACGTACGAAGTGAAAACGCACTGCAATGTGCTTGGAGCGCTTATGGAATTCCGGGTTCTTAGCCAATTTGATAGCACTCATATTATCCATAAATAGTGTGGGCGTAAATTTGACCATCGAAATTTCTTCAAAAAGTCTCTTCAGCCAAATTATTTCTTCAGCACCCTCACTAGCAGCAACATATTCAGCTTCCGTTGTCGATAGTACAACGCTACGCTGTTTCTGGCTCATCCATGTTATAGCAGCTCCTGAATTCTGGCATACTACTCCACTTCTTGACCGTCGTGTTATCCTATCACCAGCGTAGTCTGCATCACTATAAGCTTTCACATAAGTGTTGTTATCTTGGTACAATAATCCATATGATGCAGTTCCCTTTAGATATTTCAAAACACGTTTGGCTGAATTCCAATTTGTCACATTGGGACTGTTCAATGTTTCAGCAAGAACATTTACTGCATAAGTAATATCGGGACGAGTAATGTTTGCCAAATACATGAGACTTCCCACAACTTCACGATAAGGGACATGTGCACTTACTGGATCATCTTTATTCTCATCAGATCCATCTCTTTCACATGGGGTCGTTACAGCATTACAATCAGTCATTCTAAATGTTTCTAACAGTTTGTGAACATAGTTAGTTTGACTGATGAAAATAGAATTATCTTCCAAATGAGTTATACTCATTCCTAGAAAGCAATCTATATGTCCAGTGGTTATTTGAAACTGTTTCTTCATCTCTTGAATGAATGACAAAATTTCAATATTGTCAGTTCCAGCGACCAGCCCATCGTCGACATATATTGCTATCAGTAGTTTCTTCTCGTTTCTTAGACGGATAAATAAACAGGAATCAGCAGTACTGTTGATCATTTCTTGTGATTTTAGAAAATTCATGAACCGTTTGTTCCAACAGCGCGGTGCCTGCTTTAACCCATATAAACTTCGGTTTAATCGACATACTCTTTCGGTGCCGTCTTCAAAACCTTCTGGCTGCTTCATGTACACTTCCTCTTGGAGTTCACCGTATAAGAAGGCAGTCTTGACATCAAATTGATGGAGTTGAAGCTTTTCAGTAGCTGCTAGGCTGAGAATTGTTCGTACTGTTTCATAACGAACAACAGGACTGAAGGTCTCGTCGTAGTCTATTCCAGACTTTTGCGAATAGCCCTTCACAACTAATCTTGCCTTGTAACGCTCTATGGATCCGTCAGATTTCGTTTTTATTTTAAAAACCCACTTGTTACTGATTGCTTTCTTGTCAGGCGGTAAATTCACAAGATGCCAGGTACTATTTTCATGCAATGAAGCTATTTCATCAGCCATAGCCAATTTCCATTTCTCTGCCTCTTCTGATGATATAGCTGAATTATATGAATCAGGAATATTATGCTCAGCAATCAAAACAAAATCTTTCAAATGTTCGGGTATCTGGCATTTCCGTCTGCGCGTTGTAAGTTCCTCTTCAGATTGTCCAGCAGATTCACCTTCATGCATAGAAATTCTCTCTATTTGTTCAGAAATTTCCTCACGACTTGCTTCACCTGATATTGACATATCTCCATCATTTCTATCTGTTTCCTCCATTCGTGCATGGCCAACACTCTTGACAGGAAGTTTAATCAACAGATCCACATTTTCTCCACTGCTTTCAGCTCTCGTTCTTTCAGAAGGGGACTCGACAATCAAATTTGGCATTTTCCGTATAACTTCCTCATTATCGAAAACAACATCATGGCTCAAAACAACCTTGTTTTCTGTTGAGAGCCACACCCTGTAACCATCTTTCTCATGACAGTACCCTACTAAATATCCAGGAGTACTCTTCTTGTCCCACTTCTTTCTACGTAGCACTTCGTACCGAAAACTCGCAGGTGGTCAATTCGAACTACTTCTTTATCGAACCAGAGTTCGAAAGGGGTTTTGTTCTTCACCGGAGTATTTCCTGTTCTATTCAAAATATACGCTGAAGTATTAACTGCTTCTGCCCACAACCGAACTGGCAAATTCTTAGCATGGATTAATGATCTGGCACTTTCAACCAATGTTCGATTCTCTCTTTCTGAGGTACCATGTTGTTCTGGCGTGTAAGGCATTGCAATTCGAAAATTAATGCCTTTCGATTGCAAAATAGAATGAACAATTTTGTTATCGAATTCCTTGCCTCCGTCACTCAAGAATTCTTTCACTATGTGACCAGCCACGTTGGTTTCTTCCAAAAATACTTTCAAAGATTCAGAAACTTCAGCTTTCGACTTCAAGAAAAATACTCGACGATACTTTGAATAGTCATCCTTGAAACACAAGAAATATTTAGCCCCTCCGATTGATTCTTCCTGCATAGGTCCGCAGACATCGGCATGAATCAGCTCTCCTGCTACCATAGGTCTATTCGGCCTTTGTCTGAAGCTAGCTCTGTGCTGCTTACCGAATATACAACCTTCGCAAAATTCCTCATGAGCTTCTACTTGAATATTATATTGCTTCAGGATTTCCATGACATGACGTTTGTTTTGGTGACACAATCGCTCATGCCAAAGTTGTAAAGTTTCCTCCTTTGACGCAACAAATACCTCGGCAATGGTTTCAGGTATACAAACTCGCATATTCAATTCATATAGCCCTTTTGAATTTCTTCTTCCAGTCAATTTGATAGTACCTCCTCTTGAAATCGTGCAACCATAACGACTAGCTTCGAAATTGAAACCTCTATCCATGGATTGGCCGATAGAGAATAAGTTCCTGCTAATCTCTGGAACATACCACACACTATCTAAGTGGTTATGATACCATATTCCATTGACTTCCATTTCTACATTTATGATACCTTTTCCGTATGCATAAATTATCTTACTGTCGCCAACTTGAATTTCCTTTGGCATAGTAAATGATTCATAGGTCAGGAAATATTTTTTATGTTTTGTCATATGTGCTGAGGCACCCGAATCAGCAAGCCATACAACGGTATTGTTCTGATCGAAAATGCCAGAAATAAAAGCTTCACCATTCGATCCAGTTTGTTTCTTGGTATTTCTGGATGGTTTTAACACTTGCTGACTTGATTTTCGCTTTGGGCAGTCTCTTGCAAAATGACCAACCTCGTGACACTTGAAACACTTTCGTTCAGGCTTTTCACTCCCTTTTTCAACGAACTTCTTACCAGAGTTTGCAAAAAGTGCAGATGATTCATTGCATTTTGACGGTAGTCGCATTTCAATGAGTCGGAGCCGTTCTATCAATAGGTTAATAGTATTAACTGGTACTGATTCCCAAACGCTCTTGAACTCAAAATACTCAGTAGGTAATGTCGACATTATTCTGCTCATAAGCAATAAATCAGGCAACTCGGTCTTTGCCAATCTCTTCAATTCATCGTTGAGTTCGTGAAAATTTCGTTGATATCGCCCTATATGCGTGGCAATATCTTCAGACTGTATTTTCTCGCTGCTGAAAAACTGCTCCATCAGCCTATCTACTCGCTGACCAGAACTTTGTTCGTACACTGATAACAGTTTATCCCATATTTCCTTGGAAGTACTTGCTGTAGCAGTAAGTTCAATATTCGCATTGTTCATACAACTAACTAGAATGAGTTGAGCTAAGGCATCAGCTTTCTTGAAAGTTTTGATTCTTGCTTCATGCTCTTTGCGGGTTTCAGCACTTACTTCTTCTCCCAAAACATTATGAGTGAAAACTTCGGTTATCATATCATGTACATCATGATGCAACAACAGCAATTCAACTTGTCGTCTCCACTTTGTCCAATTGGAAGCACCCTCCAATTTTTCGATTTGGGTTTTGAAATCCATTCCTTACTGACAATCGGTTACGTACTGATTCACAATTTTCAGTTATTGGCGATCTGGGCCCATAACCTGATAAAGCTACTCCTTATATACAGTATAAACTACAACCGTGGACTTCGTAAAGATGTATCGTGGCTTTATTATATAAAGAATTACAAGCACAAAGTAAAGACGTTTACATGAATTATAAAAACAGTCACTCTGACATTTTTCATTTTTGACTGAACTACAAGGTGATTTTTCTTTATATTCAACAAAATTCACCTATCCAGGTGTGATCTAGAATTATACATACATTTGATTGATTGAGGCAACCTTCCTCTACAAATAATCATCAATTCTACCAACCTTGGAACTTCAAATAGCGCCATCTATTAATAAATAGGCAGAGCAGACGCCATCAATTTTAAAATATGAATGATTACACAATAGTTCATAAATATTCAAAATAAACCTCCCTCAACAATCTCAACATATTATTAGGTGGCAAACCAGCTGCAGTATCCTGACATCACATGATTTACTGACTACCATTGTCCTATTAAGATATTAAATTAAAAACAAAACAAAGAACGGACAAGAAAAATTGTGGTCAATAATTATAATCCAATTTGTTTCCAAACAATTTGACAATCAGTTACTGGTCAATTGTGAGAATTTATGTTGAAAAAAATGTATGTTTGATGATAAGTAGGTTCCTATTTCTACATCTTCATCTTCTAGCACAATCTCCATTATGTCAATTAAGCTAAAGCAGAAAGCTTGAATAAATCGGGCGCACTGTTCACATGAAAAAGTTGGAAAAGTGACAGTGACTGCCACATATTTGGTTAAATTTCAGATGTACGTCCTCCAGAAACTACATTGATCACATTTTTTGCATTTTTAGGAGTGTTTTTCGAGTACTGTTTCCCACACTGCATAATATGATGATATAGAAATCAAGTGTTTGGGTGTATTTCTTGATGAAACCCTGAGTTTTTTCCTCCCACATCAATTTCCTCAGTAAGGAACTCAACCGGTCTTGTTTTGGCCTCAGAATACTGTCGAATAACACAAATATCAACATTGTTAAAACTTTTTACTATGCAAGCTTCTATTCAAGGGCACGTTATGGCATCATTCTCTGGGGAGGAAGCAGTGAAGCCTCAAATATTTTCACAATTCAAAAGCGAGCTATTCGAATAATCAAAAAGTTGAGTTATCTCACTTCTTGTAAAACTCACTTCAGCTCCCTAAATTTACTTACTGTTCCAGCATTGTACATATATGAGTGTATTAAATTTGTGTTCAAAAATAGGCCATATTTCCTACAATTCAACATAACTCATAACTATAGTACTAGAAACATCTCAAATTACAATATTCCATATCATAGGTTAGCCTGTTTTGAGAAAGGTGCTCTATACTCCTGTATAAAATTATTTAATCATTTACCAACACACATAAAACTGAAAGAAAATTTTCAACTAGTGAAGAAGCCTATACTTAACTTCTTATGTAATCTGGAACCTTATTCCTTGAATGATTATTTTGAGCAGTGCCTGGATAGTGCAGTAGGTTCAGAATACTTAAATTTTGCATCCTCACTATAAATGTTTTATATTATATTATATTATGTATTAATTTTTCGTCCTATTTCTGAATGTTCTGTGACTGGCTTGTATATATTACCAATGTATTTGTTATGTTTGTAATATGTAATTTAAGTGCAATAAATTATTATTATTATTATTATTATTATATTATTATTATAGCACCAATATGTATTCATTTTGTCAATATTTGTGTGGTTCTGTCAAACGATCTGAGCTTTTTTCCGCAAAAGTCGGTCTGAAACCGACTTTCTAGCTTGTGACCTCGATAAGCGCTTTCTGACGAATCGGCCAATGAGATGAGGATACGCTGTAAGTCGAAAGGCGAAAAGCCAGCATGTGAACGCGCCATAACATTAACATTACCAACCTTGACCTCACCTTTCAATAGCATGATCTGGTGGATAAGTAAAAATGTTAGCCCCCATTATAAAGCACTAATAACCAATTTTCAGAAGGATTTGTGGAAAAATGTTTGACACATCAAATATTATGTCAATCTTTCGGTCTCTTCATGATAAAGAATGAAACCGTCAAGGTTGGTAGAACTGATTATTTATACAAATTATCATCAGTTCTACCAACCTTGAAAACAGTAAAACGTCGAGCCACAACCATATATCTACTATTTCTATATATAGTGCATCGCCTATACAATATCTCAACAAAAATGGTACCAAAATGAGAGGTACTTTTTTAATCTATAAGGACGAAAAGTGGAGGATGGAAACAGCCATATTGGTTTGACAAGTTTCGTATTATTTTTTCCCTACGTCGGCATCAACGCCTATTGGTCGATTTTGTTACCTGTAAAGACAGAAGCTGGTCTGGCTTTGAGGAGAGCTATGCTTCATATATGAGTAGTAGATATATGCACAAGCAAAAACAAATGTGAACCAATGAAAACAACATGAACAGCTTTCAAAAACTCCAATAGGTGGCATACCCTTATTTTCTATAAAAATCCTGGATATTGTCTCTATACACCAACATTTAGAAAACTCAGTAACAAAGACCTAATAATTCTAAATACTATTATATCTTTGATTAATGACAAAACCTCAAAGTTATAAGCAAATGAAGGATATAATTTGTATACTCCTTCAGATGACACATAGGTACATGCACAATTCAAAAATACAAATATTTTCCATTTCTCAAATAAAAAACAGTTATGAGGAATACCTGGGTGTAGTTGATTTGTTTGATGTCATCCTCATTGATGCCCATACTTTTCAACCAACTCTCAGGAGCTTCTTCCTCCTCCCCCTCTAATTTATCACCAGCAACTGAATCAAGAGTTTCATACCCCCCATCTGAGTCCCTCTTTTTCTTCAATGGCATAGTGAAATCTATTTCCTCTTGCCTCAACAGCTGTCTGAAACCCCTTGTTGTAGGTGACACAAGAGCATGAACATCAGTGAATCCACAAATTCCAGCAGCACGAAAAAGTACAGTGAAATTGTTTGCACAAGCATAGAAATATGGACACTGTCTTGTTCTTATCAACTGGAATAATGACCGCAAACTGTCTGACCATGCTAGTTGCAGGCTGTCCCTAATAGAAGTGTTCACTGCTACACTGGCACTGTTTTCCTGCAATTTCATTGAGCTTCTTGGAAAGAGAGACAACCAGGGTAAACAAGGTTGTTGCCAATACAAACAACATTGATGGAACTTTGCATTTGGTGATGTGTCCAAATTTGTTTCAGTATTACTATTCAAGCACCTGGTGAATGCTGTTACACCACTGGCTTCTTCAACAATCTTCAGTTTTTGGTTCCAGGGAAATGGTTTAGCAGATAGAAGCCTCACTTTACTTTTCAGAGTCCAGTCTATGGGTAGCCAAGTTTCACCTTTTGCCTTCACAATTTCCACTTCTTCATGAAGTTTTTCATTGTTTATATTATTTAGTACGTTTTTGAATGTTGTGAGTGAAGTTGTTTGTGAGCTGGAAGCCTTCTGATTTAGAAGCTTGAATAATGTTTGATCTGTAGATTCCTCCAGAGGAACGATCAGTTCACTTTTATTTCTCTTTTGATCACCGGTTTTCAAGAAGGGATTTTTCCGTTTCTTGGCGAATATATTTTCGAATGGACATTCTGTTGACTTTGCTTTTGTGGTGTTCAGTTGACTACCATTGATTCTGGCTTGTAGGGCTTTTTTCCTAAGTTTCAATTTGTGTAATTTCATAACATCCGTTGGGTGATTCCATTTCAATGGGGCACTTTTTTCGGGGCTATCGGGCATATCTTTTTGAAAATATATCAATCCCAACAGCCAACGAACCAACCATTAACCTAAAAAAAACTAGACACAACTTTCAAAACGTCAGTTTCCAACAGTGTTGCCACCTTGCCAGCGTACTAGAACTAAACAGAAGCGTCTAGCCCAGCGAAGCTTTGAAACATCGAGGTCAAGTGACGTCACCCACAACATATGATATTTCTTCCGTCTTTATATTGATCATTCTAGAACACGTGATTTTGACATGGTTTCTTGAGGGGCACACGAACTATCTGTGAGGTTACCTTTGATGAGCATTGCCCTGGCCATCCCTGCCACATCCACAATATAATAACAGTTACAACAAACAAAATTATGAAATTCTTTCTGATTCCAACTCGGATTCCAAGGAACACGATCCCGCTAATTCTGGTTTTATATGACAAATCTTGACAAAATACAATGTTTGCCCTTCAGCAACCTGTCAAATGACGTAATTCTGGAATGATTAATTGATAAACTACGACTGCTACCAGTAATAAAACGATAGCTCAGTGGTCTGTATATCTGACTTCCACGGTGGTGACTGGGGTTTAATCCCTGCCAGTCTTAATTTTTCAAAAATTTTTTTCACTCAAGTAATTTTTCAAAAATATACTTTCCAGGAAGAAGGTTCATTTAGGACAAGTTAGGTTGAAAGTACTTTTTTTCTTCATGCAAGAGATATTTTTTGTCCACATATCCCCTTATTTTATAAACACGAACAAACTTCTGATAACCTAACATCCATAGATCCATCATTATAGCACAAAAAGTTGACGAGGACCCGAGAGGTTCACAATAGTATAGCAGAAAGTATGATTGTGCCTAATTTTTCCAAATACATTCTCGGTTATAACAGCACAGGTGCATAAAAATTACCGATAATTTTGGCGAAAGAGCCAGAGTGCGAAGGAGAAGGTCTCTTTTACAAAATAAGAAAATAACCGAATGTTTTCACAGTGCAATCTTCACTCTGCTGTGATATAACCGCTGTAATTCTTCGATAATTATTATAGCATTGCTCTCATGAGACAATTTATATATAAAAACAACCATTGAAATAATGATACAAGTTGATGCGAAAATAATTAAAATTATGGGCGGTGTTTCATGTTCAATAGGCAATTGATACTTATTTAAATTGAATTCCGATTACCTGTATAGGGAGAGGAGTCTGATAACAAATATTGTTTATTAAATAACAACAACTCATGCCATATAAATAAAAGTATTAATATCATCATCATCCCTTCTCATATACTTATGTTCGATGAGCCACTCCAACTGTTCTTTTATCATCTTCTTAGAAGGTAAAAACATATTTTTCAGAATGTCTACAAGTTCAGTCTGTAATGCTGCATTTGGAATTTTCTTTCGCATTTTCAAAATCTTAATAATAGCTTCCTGAGTTCTAAGAATTCTTAACTGTACTATAGATTGGTTATCTTCTAGTTGTGATCGTTCCGTACTCAACTGCAAACGACCTATCAGATTCACCTAAAAAATACAAAAAAGATTAACCCAATTGAGTATTGAGTAAATTCTACGAAAGCACCCAGGTGTCAGAAAGTCTTTCCGTCCAAGAGCCGGCTGCAAATTTCTACCGTCATCTGATAAAGAAATGAAATAGGTCCCAAAGGCATGTAACATTCAGAGCAAAATGAATGAAAAATTGCACTTTCGCGATTGGATAACGAGATAAAAAATATATGCCACCCCTCAATCTGAGTAATTATTGAGTTAGAGTTCTGAAATTTGCAGGAGGAAGGGAAAGTCCAAAGATAAAGTCCCTTACGGGGGTGCTTCCGTAAAAAGTGCGACAAAATCTAATTTTCCAGAACTGAAAATTATCCAGAAAAAATATGAATAGTTAGAGAATTTGGCATCCTGATTCCGAATCTGAAGTGATTTTCGATCTATTTTGACTCCTAATTAGACTGACATCAGGGCCCTTTCGCAACATTCACATACTTTTCCCCTCTTTTGCGGCTTCCCGTTCTTGATCAAAGCGAAATCCTGATTCACCCAAAACGATGTGTGTTCAGTGAAATCCTTCGATGCACTGACGTTCGGCGAGAATAGCAACAATTGGCGTTTCAATTTCGGAAACGCCACCAGAGACCACAAAGTCCTTCTCAGTTCACCGTCCGGCAACTCCGTTGCCAATCTGAGATTCTCATAGCTGATCTTATCGTGCTGTCTTTGATTCCACGCGAAGAGGACGGCCATTTGGAAGGTGGTTACGTCCAGGTCGAATTTACCACCGGCCGTCGAGAACGTTATAGTCCCGTTGCTCATATGGTGGTACCTGAGCATACAACAATGTCCATAACTTGCCAATTTTTGAATGAAAATTTTAAGGGAGACTACTACTGTTAATTCAATATAATTTGAGAAGAATGTCTTTATAAGAATCTCTATCAGATGTTGTTATTGAATAAAGTCTTTAATTCATTTGTTATCGCATCACTTACTACATAAAAAGCTTCTTAAGCATAACAGATCACGTGCACGATGACCTACCCTGGAGGTAAATTATTGAAACACAACCTCACTTTTCTGTAAAACATTGAGACATAACCTCACTTTTTTTGATTGTTTACAGAGGAATCGACCGAATTATTGAAATAGTCTTTCAAAGTATTTTGGCATACGAATCCTGTATTTTGCGCTATTCATTAATTCAAACATGCCTTCTCATTGCGCTGTTGTACAATACACAACAAATGCAGCGAGAGACGAAGGAATAAGATCTCACAAAGTATTCATTATAAAATTTTGTCATTTCTTTTCAAAATTCCTTCTGCCACTTTTGCAATAGAAGCTAATACTGCTGATTTGCATGAATCTAATCTTCTTGAATTCTTATAGAAATTTCACGTGTATTTCTATTAACTCCTATTGCAGAAGGAATTCGGATGAGAAATCAGAGAAATTATCAAATTTCAATATGAAAACTATATGTGAGTATCAGTGACTACGGTAGGTACTTACTTTTGAATCATAATCTACCAACTGGATTCCTTCGTCTCCCACTGCATTTTTTGTGCATTCTACAACAGCACAATGTGATGGCATGCGTTATTTAACGAATAGCCGAAAAACATGATTCGTATGCCAAAATAATTGTGAAAAACTATTTCAATCACTTGTAAACAAATAAGAAAAGTGAGGTTGTTTTTCAATGTTTCACCTCCAGGGTCGGCCATCTGACAGTTCTTGCACGCAACCCATTGTTTATATTTTTCTTGAAGGTTTGATGTTGGACTATACTGACAGCTTTTTTATTATTCTTATTTTCGGGTACGTAGGCGTGATGGAAATAAGACAAGAAACTTATCATAGACAAATATCTCCAAATGTCACTAGATCTAGGTAGTAAGCCATAGTCTGCTCCGTTAATGATTCTGAATTGCTGTATTCAATCAGAAGCCTAATACCTATTTATTATTTATTGACAGTGTAAAAAAAACATGAATCACAGAACAATAATGAAGATACATTTATACATATATACACATTAAATACAGTGTACATTAAATTTAAAGACATCACATTAGGGCAAGAATGCGTTTGGCTCTTTCAGTGCCAGTGTTAAAAATGTCCCAGTTCACTCAGTTTCTCAGCGTCATCGTCCTGTTTATCGGGTTATTGTTTGATTATATAATTCTATGAGTTTCTTAATTGAATGTGCTGCTATAACGTGATCGTTTTTGAGGAACATGAAATTTGAGGGAGGCCAATAATTCAGGGCTATCAATCTGATCATTACATATTTTTTGAATAGTGTTGCTTCTACGCTCTTCTAAGCTTTTTATGTTCAGGCAATTTGAAATATTGTCATAATTAAATTCCTTCATAGGAATACCGAGCTTGAAACCAATATAACGCAAAAAACGTTTCTGAACTCTTTCTATTTTCATGATATGAGCTTGGAAGGCAGGACATCACACAGAGCTGCTATTTTCCAGTTGAGAGCGTACAAATGAAAAGTAAAGGGATTTCAATGCAACAATATAAACGCAAGCCTATGGTGATGATAGTATAAATATCTCAATCATCAACCTTTGTGGACCTCTCCTGGTGTCTATAACTACACATATTATAAATGAATGTATAAGTCAAAACTATTTTCCCAGTGTGTGGAAAAACGCAAGAGTAATACCCATAGCAAAAAATAGTAATCCTCAAAGTTATAATGACTTGAGATCAATAAGCATTCTACCAACATTTTCAAAGATTCTGGAAAAAGTAATGGAAAATCAAATCAGATCTTATGTCGACTCTTATAACATACTGCCAGTGAAACAATCAGGCTTCAGAAGTGGCTATAGCTGTGCAACAGCAACATTAAAAATAGTGGATGACATAATTAAAGCTCTTGATGCAAGCAAAGTAACAATTTTAATATTACTGGACTACTCGAAAGCATTCGATACCATAAATCACCAAATATTACTTTCCATGTTGCATTACTTTGGATTCAGCGATGCATCAAGTGCGTTAATTTCATCTTATTTGCATAATCGAAAACAAAAGGTCGTCATAAGTGATACATGTTCTAATTGGCAGGAAATAAATTCTGGGGTACCACAAGGCAGCATTTTAGGCCCTCTGTTCTACACCATCTACACTTCCACTTTCACCAAGAGATTGAAATTTTGCAACTACCATTTATACGCAGATGACTCTCAGATATATTTCTCCTTTGACCCCCTAAACCTAGAAGACGCCGTAAATCGTATTAATAGTGACTTGGAAGCAATTCTGAAGGTATCCACAGATCACATGTTGAGAATCAATCCGAAGAAGTCAATTGCCATGATATTTGGAAACGAAAACGTTCGTGAGCAGGCCAATAACTATGAACTCAAAATCGGAGATTCCAGAATAAATTTCAAGACTCACTCTAAAAACTTAGGGCTTGTTATAGACTCCAAGCTTAAGTTCACAGAACATGTAACCTATAAACTCAAAACAGCTTACGCATCTCTGAAATTAATATACCCACAAAGGAAATTTTTGAATACGGAAGTTAAAAAAACATTGTGCGATTCATTAGTTCTGTCCCATTTCAATCATTGCGACGTGGTATATCACAAATGTTTAGATAGCAATGACACAAGGCGCATTCAAAAACTACAAAACTCTTGTATGAGACTTATTTTTGGTATAAGAACTAGGAATAGAATTTCACATAAACTGAAAGATTTGAACTGGCTTAATATGATCAACCGCAGACGTCTCCATACAGCTTGTACTTTCTTTAAAATAGTCAAGTTTAAGACTCCTCCCTACTTACATGAACATTTGAGTTATAGAACGGACGTTCACAATTTGAATCTGAGAAGGAAATTACTATTGAGTGTCCCTACTCACAAAAAAGAAGTGTATAAGCGCTCGTTCTCTTATAATATTTCTGACACATTAAATTATATTAATATTTGGAATCCTAATTGGTTTGACCTATCGATCGATAATTTCAAATACAAATTTAAAAAACATTTAATACAGTCTCAAAATGTCCCTGAATGACCGCTATGAAACATTCGCATTGAGATCGTGATTATTGTTTATCAGCTCATCGCTCGCATGCTCTATTTCCAATTCTTTTTCTCTCCATCTCTCTTTTTTCTCTTTTCCTCCTCTCTTTCTCGTGCTCTTTCACCCTATTCAGCTTTATTTTTCAGTTTACGGCTTTGGTGGAACACCAGATGCGACTTGATCGCAATCTGAACCAAAAGCCCTTTGTTCACCATATGTATATATATTGTATTTAGTTTTACTTTCTCCAATGTGAACATATTTGGTGTCCAATAAATGTATTATTATTATTATTAATATAATGAAAGTCCTTAGTTGATCGTTTGATAAACCCTAGCATCTTCAGAGCTTTGTTACAGATAAATCCAATATGAGGAATAAACGTAGCTAGAAAATAAGTCTATGATAATTTGTTTGGGGGAAACTCCCTCATTATACGTTTCATTTATCTGAAAGATTTTAGATTTTAATGAATGAACCAACATCGAGCGCCATTTTCCAAAACACTTACCACTGCAACTTCCTGCCGGAATGCTTCTTCTTGTAAAACTCCTCGACCTCGGGTATATAATCCTCCAGTTCCACGGGCAAACTGACCGTAACGCGTTCCGAACCCCTCGCCCAAGCGCCAGCATTCAAAATCTTGATGTTGATCGCATCATGCCTGGCTGTGGACACCCTGAATTGACCGTTGAGGTCCTCGCTGACTTTGACGTCCTGGAACATCCTGGCTAGTTTGTTGACATAGTCGGCCGGCATGCCCACTTCGCGCAGCCATTCCACCATGTCTTCTTCTTTTTCGCTATCGGCGCTAGAAAGTGACAGGGCGAATTTCACGCTCTGCTAAGGGTTACGTGCAAGAACTGTCAGAAGACCGATCCTGGAGGTGAAAGATTGAAACACAACCACAAGTTTTTCACAATTATTTTGGCATACGAATCGTGTTTTTCTACTATTCATTAAATCGCGCATGCCATCACATTGTGCTGTTTTACAATGTACAAAAAATGCAGCGAGAGACGAAGGAATCCGGTTGGTACATTATGATTTAGAAGCAAGTACCCGCTATAGTCACTCACATATAGTTTTCATATTTGAAATTTGGTAATTTCTCTGATTTCTCATCGGAATTCCTTCTGCAATAGGAACTGATAGAAATACTCGTGAGATTTCTAAAATAATGCAATATTGGATTCATGCAATCAAACCGGGAGGACTGGTCTGACATGCTGACGAAATATGATCATATGTTTGCAGCCATTTTCAATTAGCTTCTATTGCAGAAGTGGCAGAAGGAATTTCAATAAGAAATGACAAAATTTCATGATGAAAACTATGTGAGATCACTATTTACCTGAAAAATCATATTCCTTCGTCTCTCGCTACATTTTTTGTGCATTGTACAACAGCACAATGCGAAGGCATGCTTGGATTAATGAATAGCGCAAAAACACGATTCGTATGCCAAAATATTGTGAAAAACTATTTCAATTCTTTGATTCTTCTGTAAACAAATAAAAAAAGTGAGGTTGTGTTTCAATGTTTCACAGAAAAGTGAGGTTATGTTTCAATATTTTACCTCCAGTGCCGGTCATCGTGCACGCGACCTATGCACAACTGTACAAACCTACAAACATACTCACCAAGCGTGTCAATTACGATCGATTTTTCACAATAATATACATAATAATATAATGATTATAGTGAAAGTTATATTGATTTACCTGGCATCCAATATTAATCTCCTGGTCAGATGAGCCTTGTGATACCTCATGAAGACATCCTTATTGGAAACATACTTCAAAACCAGCAGTACATCCCTTAACCTAGATTCGATATCTTCACTAGTCAGCCTTTTTGACAGTGGTGTCCTCCTCAGCAACATATCGCAATAATTCGCCAGCAATTCCGGGCATTTACTTTCAGGAGTCACCACTTTACCTAGCAGAAATTTTTCCATATCACCATTGATAATAAATCGTGTAAATCTGGGCACCCTCAAAACATATAACTAAGCTGCAGTTCACTAGATACACTAGATAACTAGTTGAATACTCAAAGATACTAGATAGTCTCATATGGGATGATTTGCTGGGGAAACTCTACAGACATTCATGAAGTGCTAATTACTAATTTAGTTTAAGTGCATACTAAGGAATATACTACCCCACAAGCCTAGAATTTCCAGTAAAAAGCATTTCCGTGCCACGCGTATATGAAATGTCTATGTATTCTCCAATGTTATGTTAGTAGACGCGTTCAACTTTGGGTGAAGAAAAACATAAGACTTCGCGTCATCTTCACGTCACCGAAGCACTGATGAAACGAGAGCCTAAAGTTTTCGAACCATCCCCAAACCTCATTGTCAGATTGGTCACAGTGAATCACGTGATACAATAGTTGCGTTTTATTTGTTCCATTCTGGTAGCGGTGGTGGGAACAGAATGACGTTCACAAATAAAACGAGAAACTTCATAACCTTGCTTGGGAGAATTTACATAAGAGGTTATATTTGTATATGGGAGATCCAAATAATTTCAAAAGCATAATACTAGAGTTAAGAGTCTAGAAAATGAATCAACTAATATTTGGAGCAGTGATTGTGGTGATTGAAGAAACTTCTCTGAGATCGACAGAGTTTATTTTATCTAGGAATGAACATATGAAACGTGTCTTACTTGAAAGAATCATGAACTAGTGAAACTAACGCTGAAAATGTCTTCTAAATGTCTTTTTCTTTCAAAAAGTTTCGTTTTTGGTCAATCTAATTTGATTTTTTGACACCTGCCAACAGTCATTCCACATCATTCCTTGTAGTGAGACGGAATGAAAAGTAGCAACCGGAATCGGAAAAGTTGCAAATAAAACGACACATTAAACTGATTCCGGTGGCAGAATCGGAGAAATAAAACGCAACTAATATGGACGCATGCACATTCTCTCAGAAACTTAGAATAGTAAAAATTATTAACGAGACCCTCGGGGTCTCGAGAGGAAGGAAAACATCCTTGAGAGCTTCATCACAACACAAATCATCACAGTGGGCTGACGCCATGCTATTAGTGGACCAGAATAAAACTCCCTGATCAAACTCAGCCCCCACAATTTTATCACAAAGAATAAGCATCAAAAAACCCGAATCTTCACATATCACGTGATGGGAATGGTTCGAAAGATTCAGGCACTTCTCTGATGAGTTTCTCTGACCAAAGTCACTGAATAGCAAAAAATCTAAAGGGTGTCTCCCGATTCTATTCACAATCGGTATCTGGTGGTTTTCGGAGTCGGAGGTTATGATCCCTTCGTGAAAATTAGGATATTCAAGATAGCGGATCCAATATGGCAGACGAGTTTTGTAATTATGATCCGATTCTATTCAAAATTGGTATCTGGGGATTTTCGAGGTCGGAAATTATGATTCTTTCGTCAAAATTGGGAACTAGAAGATGGCGGATCCAATATGGCCGACGAGTTCTGTAATAATTATGATCCGATTCTATTCAAAATTGGTATCAGGGGGTTTTCGGGGTCGGAAATCATGATTTTTTCGTCCAAATTGGCAAATAAGAAGATGGAGTATCCAATATGGCGAACGATTTTTGTAATTATGATCCGATTCTATTCAAAATTGGTATCTGGGGGTTTTCAGGGTCGGAAATCATGATTCTTTCGTCAAAATTGGGAAATATGAAGATGGATGATCCAATATGGCGAACGAGTTTTGTAATTATGATCCGATTCTATTCAGAATTGGTATTTGGGGTTTTTCGGGGTCGATTATGATTTATTCTTGAACATTTTGGAATTTAAGATGGCGGATCCAATATGGCGGACGAGTTTTGTAATTATGATTCGATTCTATTCGAAATTGGTATCTGGGGGATTTTCGGGGTCGGAGATTACGATAACTTCATGAAAATTAGGATATTCAAGATGGCGGACGAATTTTGTAATTAGGATCCGATTCAATTCAAAATTGAAATGAGGGGGGTTTCGAAGTCGGAGATTATGATCCCTTAGTGGAAATTAGGATGTTCAAGATGGCGGATCCAATATGGCAGACGAGTAATTATGATCAAATTCTTCTCAAAATTAGTATCGAGGTCGGAGATTATGAATCATTCAACAAAATTTGGATATTCAAGTGAACTTAATTTCGAAAATAAGGAGTAGAAAAATGATAATCTACTAGCTCGATGATACAATTCACGAGTTACTTGGATTTTACTTCTATTATCAGTCCCAAAAGACTGCTCCCGCATTTTTTTATTCCAGTATTAGGATGTATGTATTTTTTTGACCCTAATAACGCCTATACCAATACCGATGAAAATGTTGTATTTGTATACCTCCCACGTTCCTGCCAGTGTTCAGTTCCAGCCTGAAAACCGTGGTGTCGTTCACTACGGCCTTGAAAGCCTTATCTCTGGCAGTGAGGAACCTGGGGTCATCGGAAAAAGCGTCGTGTACCAGTGTACTGAACTTCCTGAACAGCTCCAGCAGCCTCTCCACATACTTTTCAGAATCCTGAGTGATTATGTCGGCTGCCGCCATCATATCAGCAAGACCAGCTTGGGTGATATGGTTCTCCAGCTCTCTCAGCATGGGTTGGACCCCCTCAGGAACCCTCTCCAATAACCTGTATTCAGGGGTGGGACAATTGCATACACCAATGTTTCGAAATCGTAATATTTAATTCAGCAGTGTATGCGAAAAATTTAAATTGAAAATGTCAGTATGATAGTTGGAACTTCAGAAATTCTTACTGTATATCAATATCAAGTTTTTAATATCGCACACCCTTATATGCTTACATCATTAAAAGCGTCAAGTATGAATTCTGAAGAGTGAAGATATTTCTATTTTTTTAAAGAGTAACCAAAAGTTTGTTTGGGCGCATGTTTTTCAGCTCATAAAATGCAACAAAATACGTGACTGGTGATATCCGTGAAACAAAATGATATTCTATCCAAAGGCATCTGAACTCGACCACCAAATGTTTGCCTGCGGCGCATTTTTTGTATATGGCAAACAATTGTTTGTTTCAGATAGTAATAATACTCCAAGTCTTCTCCACAACGTCTAATATCATCAAATCATAAATGGAAAGGGGACATGTTTCGATTTCCATTCATGATTTGATGATATTAAACGTTGTGGAGACGACTTGAAGTATTATTACTATATGAACTACTTCTCAAACAACATGGAGTTCTACAGGATTCCTCTGAGCTTTTCTGATTGCTCTGAAGTGTGTATTCACGAGTTAATAAAGTTCTATCACTCTAATCATTGGAACATAACTAAAACCACCCACTAAAATTGGCGCCCAACGTGGGGCACGAACCCACGACCCTAAGATTGAAAGTTTCTAGTGTGTGTAGTGTAAGGAATTGTGATAACCCTGTGAATTGATATTTGATTATTGATGTCAGTAAAATAATTGATGACAATTTGATGATTTATAATAAAGATCATATGAACCTTCTCTATAATTGATAATTGTGGCGAGTTGAAATTCACCTTGTCTATACGCATGTCAAGAGAAAAGACAAGTAGTCAATGAATGTCATCGATTAGGCAAAACATTATTATATATTCCGAACCAATTTTGACCCAAAACGTTCAGTAGTTGTATCTGTTGCTTCTTCTAAGTTTTTCTGATAGCGCTGAAGTGTGTATTCACGAGTTAATAAAGTTCTACCACTCTAATCGTTGGAAGATAACTGAAACCACCCACTAAAATTGGCGCCCAACGTGGGGCATAAACCCACGACCCTGAGATTAAGAGTCTCTAGTGTCTCTAGTATGAGGATTTGTGATTACCCTGTGTTCACATATTTGATTAATATCAGTTAAATAATTAATGTGAATTTGATAATTTGTAATAAAGATTGCATAAACATATTTTTTAATGCTCTATAATTAATAATTGTAGCAAGTTGAATTTCACCCTGTCTATATGCTTATCAAGAGATCAACGAAAGTAATCAATCTGATATAATTTATTATACAGGGTGGTTCAAACTCCGATGTAAATATTTTAAGGTTATAATATACTGTTGGGAACAAAATAAGCCTTTTTCATCACATAAACTTGTGTCCAAAAATACACCTCCTCTGAGCTACAGATAATGTAAGTTTAGTAAAAAAAATGATCTAAAATTGTGACCAAAATAATGGATCAAATCTTCAGAGAAATCTTCTGAGAATTGGCATGCCCCTGTTTTTCTAGACATTTTATTTCCTTCTTGCCTTTAAAATTACATAAACCCAGTTTTGGGGAAGGTGGAGGGGGTGCATTTGTTCTTAAAATAATTACATCGAATTTTGAATCACCCTGTATATTCTGAACTAATTTTGACCCATAATGATCAGTAGATGTATCTGTTATTTCCTCCAAGCTTTTCTGATTGTGCTGAAGTGTGTAATCACGAGTTAATGAAGTTCTACAACTCTAATCATTGAAAGATAACTGAAACCACCCACTAAATAAATAAATAAATAAATAAAAATTGGCGCCCAACGTGGGGCATCAACCCACGACCCTGAGATTAAGAGTCTCTAGTGTGAGGATTTGTGATTACCCTGTGTTTTCATATTTGATCAATATCCGTTAAATATTTAATGCCAATTAGATAATTTGTAATACAGATTGAATAAACATATTTTTTAATTCTCTATAATTAATAATTGTGGCAAGTTGAATTTTACCCTGTCTATAGGCATATCAAGAGAAAAGACTAGTAATCAAGGAAAGTCATCAATCTGACATAATTTATTATACAGGGTGGTTCAAAATCCGATGTAAATATTTTGAGGTTATAATATACTGTAGGGATCAAAACAAGACTTTTTCATCACATAAACTTGTGTCCAAAAATACACCTCCTCTGAGCTCTGAGTTACAGCTGATGTAAGTTTAGTAAAAAAAATTATCTAAAATTGTGACTAAAATAATGGATCAAATCTTCTGAGAATTGGCATGCCCCTGTCTTTTTAGACACTTTATTTCCTTCTTGCCTTTAAAATTACATACACCCAGTTTTAGGGAAGGTGGAGGGGGTGCAATTTTATGACACATTTTGATATGAAGAAAAAGTCTTATTTGTTCTTAAAATAATTACATCGAATTTAGAATCACCCTGTATATTCTGAACTTATTTTGACCCATAATGATCAGTAGTTGTATCTGTTATTCCCTCAAAGCATTTCTGTATGGGTTGTAGTGTATATCCAGGAGCTAATAAAGTTCTACTCCTCAGTTATTTTTAATCATTAGAAATCATAAATGGAAATTCCATTCCATAAGTGAAGTTTTGAAAACCCTACCTGAACATCAACTGCAACCTTTCAGTTTCCCCTGCCTTTATCAGGGGAGCACATTCTGCCAGCAGCACAGGCAAAGCATTACCAACCAAAACCTTCACACAACACTGGATTACCCCATTGCTGCCTGCCTCGAGGTACCTTTGGGCTCTAGCCTCCTCTTCCCTCAGTTTGGCATCAGCATAGCGCATGTAGGGCTGCACCCCATTGGTTGCCAGCTGTTCAGGGGCTTTCAGCCTGTAAAACAGATCTGTGCTCTGGATGTAAGCTGCTTCAAAGTTCTCACGGTAGATTTGTAATCTGTCTTCAGTGTTAGAGCATAGATTCACATAAGATTCCCTCACTCCAATAACAAGCTGAGAATCAAATGCTTCCCCATTTCTCTCAGCATGGACTAACTTCATGGCACTATCTTGTAATCTATGTTTGATATCACTGAATATACTTTCATTCCAGGAGTCCAACATCAACTTCCTCACTATGCTCTCTTCACCTTGACCCTTCTTAGCACTGTTATTTTGTACATTGGAACTTCCTGAAGTTGTTTTTCCTTGTAAACTGCTTTCTAATTGCCTGAAAGGGGTTGGAAGATAATTACACTGAGTGAAAAATTTTCGCCATTCAGCTATGTAGGCCTTTAACAGAGCTTCTTCTTGTCTGTGGGCTAGGACTCTAGCCTGGGCTTGCTTTATGAAATCTATTATGTCTTCATGCAAATGGTCACGCAGTTTGGCCGGTCCTTTTTCGTCCCACAGACATACTAGATGGACATCATAAAACAGTTCATGCCATTCAGCAGGAGACACTGGTTCTTGTTTGAGAAGTTTCAGTACAATAGGTCCCATATGAGGCCATTTGTCTTCAAATTTTAACTGTCCCTTTTCCTGGAATAATAACGGGGGTTAGTTCTTTCCATTTCCATACAGTTAACTGTTTTCTTCTTTTTAACATACCTTCAACATATTTGGATATAGTCTGGACAACTAACAAATTATTATAGGCTATTAGTTTTACTACTGCATCACACATCTGGAGTCATTCACAAGTCAAGACTTTTTAAATTTCAAATATTTATTATCACATAATAATATTAAAAATAAAAACATTATTTGTTTACAACTGGCGACAAACAAATTCCACCATTTTACATTTTGATTTTATTTTGACAAATCACGTCACTGTCACCGTGTCAACAATGATGGAAATGTCAACGTTGACCAGTGTTGTCATGTTGCCAAATCCAGTAAAATTGTACTAGATTTGCATCTATCAGTATCAGTACAACTACAGGGTGATTCTCCATAAAATGGATGTCATACCTGTCAAGCCTGTCAATTTACTCCCACGGAAGGAAGAAACATATTTCCTCCCGTGGAAGGTGAAATGAATTGGCTTCAGCTTGCTTCCTTGGTGGAGATATAGGTATAAGATCTGGTGCTACCTATATGGTGCTACCCAATTACCTAATCAGTGTCTCCGTTAGGGGTGGACGGTCGTGATTTTGGATTATCGATAATCACATTGTATCGATATTATCGGTTTATCGATATTATCAAAGTTCATTTTACTTGATTATTTGGGATTTTCTCTCCTCGTTTCTACAAAATGAAAATATATGAGTATTATTTCAATATATGTGTAGTAGGACAAATCAGATGATTTGCCCCAAAATGTCACTGCGTATAACAAATTTTTCTATCAGAGAGCCTAAAAGAAAAATTCAATAGCTTGTCAGTGACACTTTGTTTTGAGAAAAGTTCGAAGAGAAGAAATATATAGTGTAAGCGACGATATTCAAATCACCCCGTAATTAAGAAGGACGCCTAAGAAATGCCTAATCACAAGCGGCCTCAACGAATCATCGGTATTCGTAATAATCGTGTGATCGAAGATTGAAGCAGGTTTAGTCATTAGGAACGTAGTATCAGAATGAATCACTTGTTGATGTTGTATTTTTAAAAACGGTCATCTTTGTACAAGCCGTCCTGAGTAAAGAAAAATGTGTTCGAGTGTTGAAATTGTGTCTATCTACGATGCCTACATTTAGAATCTTATGACAGATATATTAAAAAAATATCGAATTTTTACTTAGTTTTGGACGTTTCAGCAACGAATCTGCTCCCGTTCCCAACATAAAAATGTATATGCTGAATCGAAATCAATAGGCATTCAGGAAAGAATCACTTGTATAAGTATTCGTTTATACGAGTCGATGCGTAGATTTCGGGAGGATGTAATAATTCAATGTTCTGCGTGGCATTAGCCAGCAAAGTAGTTGTTTTTCTCCCGAAACCTACCATTGTTGTTCTTGTTCATTTTATGAACATTGTGTGAAATGATTTAGAGCTTCTTGTATTTATTTAGCCAAATTTAAATAGGAATATGATGACGCAAAGTTTTTCTCAATACGACTTTATTCATGAAATTATTAAAATGAAAGTAGACAGAAAAACAAATCATCCTTTATTGATAGAACAGTAATATAATTCTTGTTTTCACTAATATAGCTTAACAGGTTACAATGAAAAGGGTATATCAAATAATATTCTTTAACCATCGCAGAAAATTACAAAAAATCAACTTTTAGTTTTCCATTTATAACGATTGTTCCCACTTACTTCTTAATTTATCCAAATTATTATTATCATATAGGGTGGAAAGATAACAGAAAATATAGGAACAAACATATATATAACAACATCATAAAATATGACTAGGTATCTGAATATAATATGACTGAATGAGTAGAAATTTGTTATTATTCATAACAAATCATCTTCAGATTATTTACAATTACAGAAAAAATCAGGAAATCATTTTAAATCGGTACTCACCAGAGCATTTTCTCGATTCCGACAGCTCCCAGGAATTTTGGACATAAAAGGGAATTCTTTCTATTTATATTAACCCATTTGACCCTGAAACTACTTTTTCCAATTTTGTATATTTTTTTCTCAAAAACCGTTGATAGAAGGTCCCATAAGTCGAGAAAAAATCATAAAAAAATTTTCGATCTCGCTGTCCCTTTAAGAGGACGGTAGGGTAAAGGGCTACTATTAGAAAATTAATCAAAGATTTAATAAAATGTTTATATTATATCCTAGAAAATGCTCAGCAAGATACTTAAAACTTTTAGAAACATTACTATAATAGGCCAAAAAATACGGTATAATAGCCTCATCAAGGCTGTGATTCTCTTCAATTGGGGCATAATTGAAAAACCGTCACTATTGATCCAAAACTTGACAAAATTCTAACGACCTTGTTCAAGATGTCAATAAAATATAATGTGATACTGGCGACATCTTCAAACCGTCAGCTGAATCAGAAAAATACAGGTTCCGTTTTGAAGTCCTTTTAAAAGGACGGTAGGCGTAAATGGGTTAATTATAGGTATTTAGATATATTCTTGATGTAAATATATATGTATGCAGCTAAATATAGATCTAAATCTTCCCATCGCACATACATATGTCTATATTTAATTTCATCATGAGTCCCAAATTTTGAGACCATCCAATCATTCAAGTACAGGGTGATCTGGAAAAGTGCCGACTAAAAATTTCAACTCATTCAGTGCTATTAAAAAATGCCAAAAAATCAATTCGTTTGCAAATAACAGGGGTGTGTCTCTATAGACGGCTGTATTATTTCTCTATCAAACTACTAACATATATTCACATATTTGTTTGATATTCAGTTATAGGTACATTTGGCAATACGAATGGAGAAATAGGAAGACACATGAAATAAGAATTTTTTTGTTATATTTGAGTTGAGCCGTCAATTCACGGATAGGTATGATGAAGCATTCATGTAATGATTTTTTAACTGATGGTATGCCTGTAGTGCTTAAAACGACGTCAGATTGTTTCGTTTCTATTAGAAATCATCATCAGTACCGCTCAGATCAATCTGAGATGATACAGGGTGCGCCTTTTAAAATGGAACCTCCCTCCTTAACTCTTTTGTTTTCAGAGAAAATGTTGAATGACAAAGTTGTTTGCAACGACCCAAACTTCTATTTTGTGAAATTGTTTCATTTCGGGTCATTCGTTTTGCCGGAAAGGACATCAACTTCGATTTTTGTAATGGAACACCCTATATATTTTCCGAAATGTATTTCAAAAATATAAATGAGTTGCATATTTGGATGAATATAGTTGAGTTATTGATGATCAAAATTCAGCAAAACACCGCTTTATCAACCTTCATTTCATATCATCTAATGTAAGTTGAGCATATAGTGTGAGCTTTGACGTTTATAAATTGTTAAAGCTCCATGGAAATGTCATGATTTTGTTCATTATGAAATTGAAATCTCTCAATCTCAATACAAAAAAATATGAATGGACTGTTCGAATGCAAATATGCGGTATGGTACTTTGGTAAACTTTGTACCAAGCCCATAATTTCACAGTATTATTATAATATAGGTTTAGGTTAGTATTTGGTGGATACGCACAATTTGATAAAAGTGTCGAAGTGGATGGGAGCAACTGGTGAGCGCTCGTGGTTCTAAAACATTTCGGATGTTTCCAGGCGAAGAAACTGACCAATGGAAACGAAGGGTGAAGCGTCGTATTTTGACGCGGGATTTGCTAAGTAGGTCAGAAGGGAAAAGGCAGACGATGGCTACCATCCAGAGAGAAAACTTCCTTCGTGGTCAACGTTCGTGAATAACATCGATAAGTTCACGGCAAAGAAGCCGGTATCCGTGGGTATCCGTGTCTTATACGAAGTGACATTTTGTATGTTTTTGTATGTAATCGAGAGTGATACTCGAAGATTGAACGTGATTCTACCTGAGAGTTTTTGTGGTACCATATATAAAAGTTATCTGCAAATTTACAAAACTACGGGCCTCCCAGACATCGACAACAGAACTATTTTAGTGGTGCACTGACATTTCAGAAAAACTGTAGTGAAGTGATGGCGACTCGTCAGGACAATAGGCACTCAGCTAAGTACTAGATTTAAGATTTTCTTCATGTTTGTTCAGATGGTTTAGGTATACGATCAATTAAACGTAATTTGCAGTTTTTTGGATTGACCGATAGTTTCTAAAAATAATCCTCTCACCAATCGAAGGACCTATCGTCACTGAGAAATAAAAATTAAATGAGCAGCTCCCAGCTCGTGTTCAACTTTGATTATTGATGATCAAATTATCTTTTATCCAAATATGCAACTCATATATATTTTTGAAATAAAACAAAAAAAGGTTTCAATGACATATCAGACAATATATAGGGTGTTCCATTGAAAGAATCATAGTTAATGCCCTTTCCGGAAAAAAGAATGACCCTGCTGTATATGAAGCAACTTTGCAAAATAAAAGTTTGGTTCCTTTCAAACAACTATTTGACACTGAAAACAAAAGAGTTAAAAAGGGGTTTCATTTTGAGAGGCGCACCCTGTACGATTGATCTGAAGGTATGTTTCTCAAAAAATTGATGCCTGCTTTTTCATATAGATATACTGGATGTTTCAGACTCAATAGCTATGGTCATATTTTACGAAAGGAAGTTACGACGCAAAATAGATAATTTCCGAGATAATTTTATGATGGAATATTTGAATTTCGTACAGACATTGAACTTGAACTCGATGTACTGAATGTTTCCGAAATCGAAGCGACAAAAATATACTTGCATTTCGTTTAGTTTTCTCATCTTACCCTATTATACTTTGCATAATCGATTTTACTGGAACCTACAGAGGAGAGCACAAAGAATGGCCAGGACTGTAACTTTTGTATTATTCGATTATTGCTCATTGATTGATGGAACGATTTTTCTTCTATCACTTCCGGTTCCACCGGAAACGACCCCGACTTTTGATTTTGAAATGGATTGTATTCCATAATCGGTTAGGGATTATTCATGGCAAATTCAACGATACCGGGTTTGATAGAGCTATTTCAAACGAGAATATTTTAGGTCGATAGAACACAACTAATTATTCAATAAGGCATCAAATTTTCAGTATACTCCTGAGTTGGGTTCTCCAGAAACGTCTCATGTGCCATCCACCGTGAATCACCCTGTAAAGGGTGTTCAAAATCGAAAATTTTCTACTTTAGGATGTTTTTGTGTCGAAACTATTCAATATTGATCAAAACGGCTTACATGCACCTCTATCTCAACTTCTGCTTCACTATACAGCGTGTCTCAATTCAAACGGC